CACAGCAATAAGCACGATCAGTCCGCGTACAGTCTGCTGGGCGATACGGCTTACAAATAATACCTTAATTTTAGCCTATGCTGTGATATACAATGTATATCTTTATCTACACATTTTCACTACTGATTAAATACATTTGGAGAGGATTTCAAATTGCTATTTTGTAATTTATCATTTTGGTGCTGGCTAAATCCCGAATCCTGCCAAAAATGTCTTTATGCAGGAAAAATCCTGAATACACAGATATATGTAGACCCTGATACAGAAAAATGTTTTGCCAATGGACTCAATGAGCTGACGCCCACATTTTCTTCATAGAGTTAAAAATCATTGCTGACCATTGCTAACATGCACTCATTAATAAAAGTTGTAAATTGATTTTGACAGTCACAATGTAAAAGCTTCACGCAACTGTAAAAAGTACTTGGTTGTGTCGTTCTATTATTGGTAGTAAAGGCACTTTATTTAAGGCGGTTTATTCTGCAAATCAAAGGTTAATTTGCTGATCCAACTACAAGCTGAGAAGATACTTTCCTCTTGGAGAAACAATATGCTGTGTCAATATGATGCTTTAATTTAAGAAAGCCTTTCACAGTGAAAGTTCTTAATGGAGTTTTTCTGAAACAACAATTCTCTGATGCCCCATCTGAAATACCTCCACGCGATGTACTGTGATTCAAAACTCATCAGAAGAATCAAACATAAACTCTTTTCTTCACATGTGTCCCTGGAGCACACAAAAGTAGAACTTTTACCTGTGTACATTTGCATTAGGGTCTATTGGGTGCATCACTAAATCAATGTATTCTCAGTTTTAAACATGGTTTGAGTTTAGGGAAGTCTTGGAGGACACACCATTAGTGAAAAAGAACCCTATATATATATAGAAGACAAATACAGCTTTGGGTTCTTGTATCTCTACACGACTTCACTGAGTTTGAATAGCACACTAAGACGCATTATTGAAAGTCATCTCATGCAGGCTCAGGGGCCACAACAAATCAAGGTCAAGGGTCAAAAGACCTTGCACTGGTTTATGCTGAACATCCGTCGTCTGGCTTGCTTCCTGGCCTGGTTTACAGCCGTCCGCACCGCGTACTCAAACACCTGTTGCACACCGCGGTTGCTTATGGAGGAGCACTCTAGATAGCCTTTAGCGCGGACTTCACGCGCCACCTGTCTCCCCTCCACTGCTGTGATGCAGTTGCCCCGATAGGCCCCCGCCTCCCGTAGATCCGTCTGGGTGGCCACAACCAACACTGGCACCTTCGGCAAGTTCTCTCGAACCTCAGTGATCCACTTATGCTGGACGTTGGCCAGCGAGTTCGGGTTGGCCACAGAGTAGCAGATGAGGACGATGTCAGCCTGCGCGTACGATCTCGGCCGGATCTGTCTAAAGTTGTCATTGCCTGCTGTGTCCCAAAGCCCCAGACTGATCTGAACCCCATCCATGTACACCTCCACCCCTGTGTTATCAAACACTGTGGGCTTGTAGGTGTCCGGGAAGGTCTCTGAGGTGAAGCGGACCAGCAGGGCCGTCTTGCCCACGGCACTGTCCCCGACCAGGACACACTTCACCGACATCTCCGTAATGCCGTTCATGGTTGCCTCTGACAGTCTCTCTCCTCTAGATATTTCTATTTTGGTGGAAAAAGTCTCAGGGGAAGTTTTTCGGGAACTTGTCGATGTGGAGAGGCGCAGGGTTCACGAGGTAGCGATCACTCTGGATGTGCTGTTCTTCACTGTACAGGCTCTAGTTTTCATAGCAAGTGATTTGTAGCCCTGATTTGTGGTAACTGCCTTCCTGGAGATTTCAGTCGTCATTCAACTTGTTGAACTGACCTTCAATGTCTCTCTTTCCAGAGTCTGTTATAGGTAGTAGATATGTACAGTCAGCAGTTCTCCAGCAGTGAGCTTTATACGCTCTTCACATAACGTCTCAGTTGTTTAGGCCCTCGCAGCTCGTTTCACTTCTGCTCGGTTTCTGCAGTGTGGTCAGGTTCTGGTCCTTTCCTCTAACGGTCTCAAGGGTCATCATTATGTCCAAACAGAGCTAACCTCTCAGAGCTGAGGAGGGAAAGCTACCAAGGAAGAGAGAGGAAGAGAGGATATGTTACGAACATGAAGTATCTGTCAGCACTGTGTTGTCTTACTTTCAAAAGACGGAACAGTTAGAAATTGAAGTGCTTCAGCTAATTGTTTAACTTCATTTATATGTTTCACCAAATTCTTCTCATCTACGTGTAGCCTATTGTGTAAAATGGCAGCAGCATGGCCCTTAACACAATGAACATGACAAATGAGAAATATCTGCTTAAACAATATAGAAATAGTCTACTGCTAGAGTATGGCATGTTGCAGATGACATCAACTTTAGTGTCTGTAACACACATAATTTATATTTACACAGAAAGGTTAAAGTATAAAGCAACGAATGTATAACAAAGTACTGATTAAACACGGAAGTAAAGATCTGTGTGTTTGGGTGTGACCCAGAATTCACAGCTTGATACCGAAGACTCTAACAGGGGTTCAATAATATCCATGTTCTCTGTGTTATCTCATACATTTAACCTGTTTGTCTTCAATTACTCTAATGTATGTCCCTCCTAACCAGTCCTGATTCCGCCATAAACAAATACCTGATAATAAATAAGGACGTCTCTGTGAGTTGATGTTTGATACAGAAGCTAATACGTGTAGATCTTAATGTTTTTTTTTATTTTTATTATAATTAACTAAATCAGCTGGTGGTTTCTTATGACTTATCTACTGCATTAAATGGACAGTTTAACAATTGTATTAAAGTAGCATAGGTAACAAGTCCTAACCTCAAAACCACCTGCCATGACACACACACACACACACACACACACAGTCATTTAGATGGAAAGACCTCCATCTCCATAACGTAGATGGGACACTTTAATCAGTGTTTTTTCCACAATTCAACTGTCTACATTATCTCACTAGAACAAGTATTAGTTTTATAATCTCAGTCTACAGTCAGAGCTAAAATTAATTAATTAATTAAAGTTTAAAAACAACCAACAAACACTTGGCAAAACTGATCAAACTGTCAAAACTCTTCTTACTTCATGTAGAGTACAATAAAATCTTATTTTACACATTCATAATCATCTCCCAGTGAGAGTAAGAACACAACATTAAGCTCCCAACTGCTCATTTAAAAGTTTTTAATGCTGAGGTTTTTAGGTCTTATTACATTTCCAAATAGATTATATAAATGGTATTATAAAATCTATTAAATAGAAAATATAATAGTATATAATAGTATAAAGCCTCAGCAACACGCCGCTGTATCAACACAAAGTAAATGAGGACAAAGAAAGAGATAATTACCTTTTCTTGTCTTCTCAATCTGTAACGGGCGGATGCTGGCTGCCGCCTTTGAAGACTTAACAGCACTCACACACACAAAAACCCCAAAGCCTTGAAACTCCAGACACGGTTGGTTTAATAATTATGATAAACTGCCGAACTGGATACCCTGAAAGGTATTTGCTAAAGTCTGTATTAATTTGAGACAGAAAGACACACGAAAGACTAAAGACTTTGGCACCTGCCTGACGCTGAGCAGAGGACGGAAGCGAGAAAGTAGGAGAGAAAAGAAAAGTAAAACACATCCGCTAGTTGAAGTGTGGAGGTGTGACTGAGTCTGCTGCTCGCCTCCCCCACAGCAGATGTGCTTTAAAGTATAGGAGGGTTGTTTTTTTTTTTTGTGCCTTTGTTGTTGTGAATTGGTACGATTTTATCTGACACAGCTGGCCCAAATGAAAGATTTTAAGAAAAGATCAGGTTGCACTGTGCTGTCATTGTAAAGGATAACATGTGAGCTCCGATCAATAATCAATAGAAAACCCATCTCTAGCTAAATATATGATCCTCTGTAGCCCCTTATTGTACAGTTTATATATATATATATATATATACACACACACATATATATATATATATACACATTGACAGGAATCCAGTCTGAAATATTAATATTAATAATAAAGGGAAACTCCACCGATTTCACCGGGAGGACTACAGGGATTAAAGGGTGCCACAAGGGAGCTGTGATCTGATCAGATGCCTCATGTGATGTGACTAGAGTCACCGTCAGTCGGGTCAGAGGACTACAAGTTTGAGTTTGCGTGGAGTTAGAAAGAAGTGATCCCACCAGACCGATGTAGCCCGATCCTCAGCTCTGCTTAGGACTAGATGAGGTTTCTTCTTAGCTGCAATTAGCGGAACAAACCTGAATCTCTGGCCCAACTATTCTAGTGTTGTTGTTGCACTGTGGGTAATGTAGGCGCCAGTTTGTGACAAGGACGAAGTGTGTTGAATAGTGTTATACAGTGCCTCCAGGATTTCACAGGCTTTTTGGGGGAGGATTGTTGTGTCCTGTAATGCCTGCATTCATGGCAGCTTTTCTAAAAACAAAAAAAAAAAAAAAAAACAAATTGCAGTTAATGTTGCGATGTTTTTAACCATTGTTTGGTCTAAAGGAACTTGTAAGAAGAGTAAGAACAAAATCTCCCCGTTTGAACTTAACTAGAAAGAAGGAAGTGAGTTTGGTGACATATGACTCAACGCGTTGTGCATTAGTCATCTCTAAATGTAAAGTCTTTCCCAGGGGTTTCAAAACATCTTAAATCCAATCAAAAACCACATGGATGGGATGTCAAATTTTTATCTGCAAGAAATCTTTGTTGAAAAATGTGTCTTTATACAGAAAATGTCCATACTGAACATGACGGAGAAACTATGAAACATTAGTCATCATGTGTAGTAGTGATCTTTGTATTGGCTTATAGCATAAATTATACTGTTCCTCAGATTCATTAAAGGCCCACTATGATTCACAAACTGGCTCAAACTGGTCTTTTGATACATAGACTAATATTAAGTGACAACCCTGAATAAGGATTTAAAGCTACAATAACTAAAGAGAAACACTGAGTCCACACAAGTCCACACATGCACAAGTCTTAAACTGTAAACATAGAAGATTTTATTCAACAATACAATATTCTCTGTAAAAACCATTTGAACAAGTGAATAAAAAAATACAATTCTCTCTATATACTTAATATGTTCATAATATATACAATCTGTAAAATATTTTTGTTGCACTTTTGTGAAAAATATCACACAGATAGAAAAGCAGAAGCGATTTTGGACCTACAAAACTAGTGTAGCAACCTGAGGAATACAACTGCTACAAAATTTGGCACAATGGGTTAAAAAAAATGCCACCAGGAACAGGCTGGAAACAATTGACTGGCCCTCAAAAGAAAGGAAAACCTAACATTGTTGGATCCTTACCTGAGTTTGAATATCAATATATTAGCTGCTAAGCTTGGCTCGGCCTTAAGCAAAAACTTAATGGACAGTTGTATATTTCTGAGGCAGCTGCTAAGACAAAGGACGCAGATTGCTGCAGAGCTCACAGTGGATGGTGTTCAAACCATTTAATGGCCTTTTGATCATCTGAGGAGTTGGCTCACGTCCTGGTAACACTTCCACCAAGAGAAAAACATTGTTCTTCTTTTTAAGCATTTTGGTTTTGTGATAACTTCTCAGAGGACAATTTCTGATTTGACTGCAGTGTAGAATGAGTATCAAATAAAATGCTTAAATTTGTGTCTCAAAAAAGGATGCCATATTACTTAAAATCCTGGAGAACAACCTCCGAGTAGACAACATGCAATCATGATTCAGTTCAAGTTTCATAAAATCCTTACATGTCTCAAACACCTCTTTCAACATGGAGCCTTCATAATACAGCAATTTTTCATACTCTTTAAAAGGCATAAAGATAAATGTAAAACAAAATACACCACACTAAACATTTTTAAATATAAAATGTACATACATTCAGGCCAATGCAGTTTCCTTTCATGAACACAAGAGGAAAAAATATTCTTATTAGGATCTGGATTAAGATCTTAACTAAAATTAACCTCAATTTAGTCATGTTTAAGATTAAATTAAAATCCTAGTGTCTTTATGACTGATGGAGAAAAAGAGAGAGAGTTGGGAAAAAACAAGTACCAAAACTGACTGACAGAAAAAAGAAACGAGGAGGCTGAGTAGTATACCATACTGTATATACTGTAGTAATTGTATATGTGGTGTTGTAGAAGCAGAGAAAAGAGTGTTGTCCTCCATCCGCAGCTTCACTCCAATAAACCAGGTTCTACTCACTTCAAAGAGACCAACACGAGACCTGGCTTTGGCTCAGTGAACCTGAGAGATACAGAGATAGGAGAAAAGGTGGGTGAGCATTAACATGTCGTGCATGTGTGCTTTGCCTTTGTTAGAATGTGTATATGTGTGCATACCTGTAGTGTTTGTTGGTGAGGTAGTCTATAACGGCGGGGCGGATGCGGGCCACGCCCCCCTGGCTGTGGTTCCCTCTTCCTGTGATGACAGAGAGCTGAGGTCGACACAGACCCTGCTCACAATCTACACAGAAAGAGGCCATAGGAGAACAACACACACACACACACACACACACACACACACACACACACACACACACACACACACACACACACACACACACACACACACACACACACACACACACACACACACACACACACACACACACACACACACACACAAGTTAGGAGCTAGTTTGAGTCTAGACTTGAGACACAACACTGTTTCGCAAACCCACCCAATACCCACAATGCTCGGAACCGACTCATTATCTGCAAGTATCTCTAAATCTTACCTATAATCAAACAGTTTAACCCCAATGTTCATTTTGGGGTCCTAGGGAACCCAGAGCCTCTTAAACAATTATTCAATTCAATTCAATTTTATTTGTATAGCGCCAATTCATAACAGAAGTTATCTCAGGACACTTTTCAAATAGAGTAGGTCTAGACCGAACTCTTTCTTTATTATAAAAACATACTTACCATTGTTTATTAGCTTGATCCTTCCTAACTTTTACCAATTGCTATGAGAACTGATAGCATGCTTCCCGATCTATTCCCAATAAATACTTTCAACTATCTAATAAAAGTGTAAAATGCCCCCAAATATATTTTTATATATTTGTTGGGGACTGTGAGACACAAAATAATAAGGAAACATGTTGTTTCTTTTTTGTTACTTGAGCTCAGCCAACAACCAACAGCCTAAACTATCCTGAATGGACATTTAGTAAAATTAAACAAACACTTGATCATCATCATATTAATTTTACCTGTATACATGTGTGTGTATATATATACACATATGTATACACACACACTTTCAGCTGTGAAACACACTGTTTGAGGGTACCTGTAACAGAATGTGTATTATAGTCTACCTTTAAAGTGCCAAAATCTTCTCTCATCCTGCGCCTGTACTCATACTGAGTGTATACAGTGCAGTATACTATAAATTACCTGCGGTTTTGTTATGTAAGACCCGAGCCAGATGATCCAGGGCCTCATCTACGTGCAGCCCATGGAGGTCCAGGATGTTATTTGGCAGCAGTGATGAGTTGACCCTTTGAAAAATCTGAGCTGCAGCCCGGTGATTGGCTTCACGCATCCTCTTGCCATGCAGGTGTCCCTAAGAGTGAGGTGATACAAATTAATTTACAGTAAGCTGAGTATTTACTAACAAGAAAAGAGCTTAAAGTTAGAAACATTACCTCTAATACATTAAATTTCCCCCACAACAAAAAAAAAAAAACATTTAGAAAATGCTTATAAAATGCTTCACATGTAAAAAAATAACAGTACAATATTCAGCTCCTCACCTGCTGTGCGTAAAATGAAGCCACTTCTTTCCGTCCTTGCTTGAAGGCCTCGGCAGCCTTGGAGAAACTCTCGAGCTGTCGGCTCCTCTGTAGGCTGGCCTCAGCCCTGAAGTCCTCATACTCCGGATCCTCCGTATCCTGATAGTCAGGTACGAGCAACTCCAGGGGATTCTGCCTCTGACAAATTAAAAAAGGGATAAGTATGATTAAGACTAAGTTAGCTAATTAAATGTGGAAAAGGTAATCAGTACTTATGTATTGTTATGTAGTAAAGATGCAGTTTGTAGTGATATAAAGCAGAATAGTATATAATGGATTCTTGCTTTTTTTTTTTTTTAAATGTATTTAGCATTTTAGGGGTATACCATTCTCTACAGTCACACAGTTGTATTATAATAAGTTATAGATTAACTCTTGCAATACATAATGAATCAGAAAATTACCAGTACAGTGATAAAATCATTGTCAAAATATTTACATAGTATGGTGCATTAATGGAAAAGCTAAAAAAGAGATATAGAGGTTAAGTGATGGACATTATACATGAGACTACACAGTACATGTGTTATGTGAAATAGATGTATACCGGTGTTCTTTCTCCCTCTGCCTGTGTGTGTGAATACCTTTTCCCTCTCCTTGCTGGCTGCTCTGTGGTGGTCGGACCGAGGTGCCTCTGGGGCGACCACTGTCTTGACCGGCTCTTCATCCAGTAGAGAGCGAAGGAACAGCTCTGTCTGGCTCAGGCTGTAACTGTGCAACACATGAGATACACACATCTTTGCATGCTGCAGAAAAAAATAAAATGACTTCCCAGCTTTAAAGACCATTATCAACAAATAAACAAAACTAATACGGCCTCAAAGTTGCTTTCTCACTTGTTGTCTCGGAAGATGTCCTGGAGGAAATGCCTGTCAATGGTGGGGAAGAGGGAGTATAGCTGGTTCTCTTTCAGCAGGGCAGCTCCGTTACGTCGGTCGAGGTCTGCACGACTTTGTCTGGTCTGAAAGACGGAGGGTCGCACAGGGGTTAGAGCAAACCAGGATATTATCATCCAAGATGTTTCAGTCCACAGGTACAGTAGATGTTCGTGTTACCTTTTCCACATTCTCCTGCATAGCCTGCTCCTCTTTAATAATGTCTCTGAGAGAGACATGTGGGCGGGACACATTCCAATGGTCCATGAATGGCATCAGAGTACGGGCCTCTGGTTGGCTGTCCAGTGACTCGTAACCATCTGCACTAATCAGGAACGGTGCTGGCTGTGTTCGGTCTCGAGGCCCAGGTTTGGCCACCTGTGACTCACCCCAGTGGACTGAACCTACACATTCAAATGTCAACATTCAGTAGTTGTGAAACAAAATGATGTTATGACGATGTCTGAGAACTTCTGGTGTGTGTGTGTGTGTGTGTGTGTGTGTGTGTGTGTGTGTGTGTGTGTGTGTAAACTTACTTTCCTGAAGCAAGTGAAAGGAAAGAGTTGCTTGTCTCTGCTTCTCCTGTAAAACAGCATTAAAAGTCAAATTAACAAATGGAGACCCACTCAGACTCGCTCACAGGTAGATTCACATTAGCATGGATGCTGGTAAAGACACAACACAACAATACTGACATATTACCACCCTTTAAGTTGATATAATTCAATTTGAGCCCAACATTCAATCTCCTATTAGCTCTGTTTTTACTCTCTATGACCTCCTCAGGGAAATATCTGGCTCTTTAACTGCTAAAAGCTTCATTATGTCCAACTGTTATAAGAATATCAATTATTGCCACAAAGAGCTCACCTGAATGGTTTCCTTCCACTTCTGGTGGAGCAGTTTAGCCAAGTTCAGGTCCATCTGCACTGCATAGTCCTCAGTGGAGCATGTACCTTAATATTTTTGAGTACCAGGGAAGTATAAAAATACATATTTTTATTAGCAATTAATGAAAACTAAATGCCACAGTATGTTTCAAACAAAGTGCTTCTCAGATCGACATAACACGGAGTATGAGTGTAACAATGTATGAAAACCCATTTCAGAATCTCGAGGTGATATAATGTTGTAATTTTACAAAACAGGCAATGTGACAATCACACACACATTATGCAGCAATTGGCTGCAGAGTTTAAACTTCTGTTCAATTTATTTTCATTCTGTCCAGGAGCCTTAAGGCTAGTACTAGGATAAGTATTAACTTAAGTGCTTAAAAAGGGTATTTTTCAGTGTGACACCCGTGTGTTAGATACCTGAGTCTACTCCGACAGGACCAAACAGTTCAGTGAGCTGTAGGGCAACCTCAGTGGGTAGTTTCAGCTCCACACTCTGAATGTTCAGGTGTCGACTCCTTCGCTCCTCCATGTGCCTCCTTTCAGTCCTCTCGTTCTCCTTCTGTCTTTCCTCTCTCTCCATCTCATCTAGCTCAGCCTGCAGTAGCCGGTGGACCTCGTCCATGCTCGCAATCTCCTTCTCAATCTCAACTCTTGACTCTTCAATTATTACTTCGTCATCAAAGCTTCCACCACAAGCGCCGCCTTCTGATGTCACTTTGTGGTCAGTGTCACCACATCTCTCTCCTTCGTTTACTGCTTGAGGAAGACTACGCTCTGTTTGAAGAGATTTTTCCAAGTGTGAGGTTGTATCAGGATTGTTTCTAACTGAAACAGCTGCACCTCCAAACATATCGGCATTATTGGAGCTCTCATCTGACTCAACAACGGTCCCAAAGGTTGACTGAGTCGCCTCTTCTAATCTAGGCCAATCATCAGGGTGATGCTCATCTAACGCATTAGGACATGAACTGGTTTCTACAGCTTTGCTTAAAGCTCCACACAGACTGGATGTGTCCTTGTCTTCTTCACTCTCCTCTTCTTTCTCACCATCCTCATCTCTGAAGAACCTCTCTCCCGAGTCCAGCAGCAGGTTGGTGGTCCATTCTAAGTCCTGATGGCATTTGTCATACAGATCTTCTAATGTATCAAAACTAACCAGTTTAAAATGGCAACTGAGAATGCGCAAACTCTTAAGGCGGTCTTGAGTTGCCCCAAAGTCTTTCTCCTCCACCTGTGTGCCTTTCTCATGAACCACACGGTAGGGTACCTCTCTGTGGCCAGATGGGTGAACTGCAACTGCTGCAGAAACGACAGTGGACAGCTCCGGCACAAAGCGAGAAGAGTCTCCAGACAGGACTGCGATGTCACTAGGGTGGCTGCACGCATTGACAACTGCTTCATTGGGGGTGTCTTGATGATTGAGACGCCAAAGAAGGGCAAAGTCTTGGGGTTCTGTCTGGGTGTGACAGCCTGTGTCTACCAGAGGAGGTGGGGAAGGGAGCTTCAGGGGTGGCTCAGATTTGGAATCGGTGAACAGGTCAAAGCTGGGTTCAAGGCTAAGGCTAGTGTTACAGTTAGGATTAAAATTAGGTTCAACATCTGCGTTGATGCTATTCTGACTACTGTTTATAATTTGGGCAGTGGTATCGGGACATTCGAGAGTATTCACTGAAGAGGCGGGGCAGTTTTGAGTAAATGTGAGGGCTAGTTTGCACTGTTTCCCTGATCTACGACCCTGACGCTGCTTTCTCTCCTGACTGCCTCCACTGAAAGCTCCATTTTCTGCTTCCACAGAGCCCTCACAGACAGGACTCTGACACACTTCACTAGTTTGACTGTCATCAGCCTCAACTCTAGTTTCTCTGCAGTTATTCATGTCCACATCAGTAGGACCAGTACCAGGCTCTGTACCAACCGTATCATTAATATTGTGGCCTCCCAGTTCATCGTGGCATACATTTGCCTCCATGGTATTGGATACAACTAGTGAATCAGCAGTAGGAGCTGGGAGGGGATTTGTTGGGCTAGTTGATTTCAAATCCACAGTCCTATTTTCTTTGTCAATCTCTAACAAGTCATCATTCCCTCTTGTGGTACTTCTCGCCTCATTTTCAGTTTTAAGGGCCTCCCAATGATCAATTCTCGATACCCTGGCCTTACACGAGTTAGCTGCCTTCCCGTCTAACACACAGTCAGGTAATTCACCTCTGCTGCTGTTGACCCTGTTCATGTTCTGTTCTCTCTCCTCGCTGTCAGATCTACTGCTATGGGATTCCTCAAACCTGCCACCTGCATCTTCTTCTTTCTCCAATTCCTCTCCGGAGCTCGGGGAAGAGGAGGATGAATGGGAAGAGCTGGTCAGAATGGCAGTTTGACCCGTCTGAATAAGATCAAGAAGCTTCTGAAACTCTGTTACATTGGGTCCCGACTGCACTTTAGTTTTATTTTCGTTAGCTTCTTGGGACACGCCTTCATCTTCTTTGCCATTTCCTTCTTTACGCCTTTCTCTTCTCCTCACCTGGCGCTGCTCGAGAGTCCCTTCAGAAGGCCAGTCTCCTACAAAATCTAACATCTTAAGCATTCCCTTCTCTCCCCCATCCCTCGCTATCTCAACCCCTTTTGCCTCCTCTTCCTTCATCTTTTCTTTCTCCTTGGCCTCGCTGTCTGATTGGTTAGTATCTTTCACCAGATCTGCAGGCTCTGCCCTGTCAAAACCAGACCTTCTGCTTGTTCTTTCTCTCCTCACTCTTTGTCCAATAGACTCCGAGAAAGCGACGGGCATTTCATCCCCACGATAATCCTCATTCATCACTGATTCCACAATACAGTCGGGGATTCTCTGATCCCCTGTTGGATGATTTAGCTTTAACGCGGTGTCCAGCTCAGAATCTAATTGCCCCAAATCCATGGAATCAACCCCGTCAGACATTTCAGGGCTCTCTGTGAGTCCTCCAGTAGGCTGGAAATTGAGGGACTCCGTAGATTTGTGGGTGCCGTCTTCAAGCACTCCTACCTCACCAGAATGACCAATAGATGACACGTCAGGAAGGGAGGAAAACAGCTGAGGGCAGGATTTCTTACGTCCCTCAGTCAATCCAGGTTGCTCAACAAGGTCAGGACAAGGTGTTTCAGAAGACACCAGACTAGGGATAAGAAGAAAGATATGAATGGTACAGTTAACATAGCTAAGATGGGTGCAGAATAAAAACATTATGCCTGATTTAGCCTCATGATTTGGATGATTCATGTTTATTGTGCATAAATACATACATAAGTACATATTCATTCATTTTAAGCACATATTCATTCATTTTAACCACAATGGAGTAGTCATTTTTAAAACAGTTAATATTATTTATTCAGCTTAAGGTAAATTACTCCTTTTGATGTTTACAAAAAATATTTTTCACTTAAGACAACAGAGAGCAATGCAAAACAGATGATTTGAATAGATGCCAAATTAAAACCTCAATTTTCCTACAACATTTGTAAATGTATACTCTTCTCTTTCTGGATGCATCTAACATTTGCAGTACCAATACATGTCCCCAGTAGAAACTAGATACAAAAATTATGCTACAAGTTGTCAAAATGACCAGGTTTAATCAATTCTTTATGAAAATATAAATATTATGCATTGACAGTCAATTTCACTGCATTTCTTTGGTAATGTATGTTATTATACAAACGTTCCTATGAGTTAACCTTGTCCACATAGAAACACGTTATGAGAGTCACAATCACAAATGGGTCTTCTTTATCCAGACACTCAATAAGCAGCACTTACTGTGAGCTTCTATTCTCCAGAAGGAGGCGCTGTTTCAACTCAGGCATCTGTGAACCCATGATGGACTGGACTGTGACAAAGCGCTCATATCCATTCAGCATGCGTCGGATTGTTTCCACTGGCACGTCATGTGTAGTCCGTCTACATATGCATACAGACACACACAATTAAACAGACACAAAACTGTAATATATGAAATTGTTTAACAGCATTTTGCTGTTATAAAAAAGTAATCTATTAAAATTGGATTCTACATTAATTCCTCTCTCACCTCTGTAGTTCTCTAGGCTTGCTCTTCCACCAAGTGTCCGGCTCTCGGAACAGCACCTTGTATCCATGTTTCAGTGCCTAGGAGAGATAGGGGACAGATAGGGTCTCAAGTATAACCCATCTACACTGTCATCGATTAGATGTTATTTAAGAGGGGTTTTATGAACCTCTCAGTCAGAGACATGAGATATGTGACCATGCTTTATGTATTGGATGCAAGTTGACTGACCTGAACCACATAGGGTCTCATCTCCCAGCCTTGCATGTTGGTGTTGTCAATAATGATGGGGTTAGCACCCCTTTCAAAGGCCTCTATGGCTATGGAGTTAAGTTGGCACAAGAGAGAAAGAACAAGAAAAACAAACAATATGCAGTGTTTCCTCTATGTTGCGGCCCGCCGCTGTTCTGAATCAGTAATGGGGCAGACGCACAATGTAGTCGCGGTTGCCTTTTAAATGATCCTGCCGACATAATGCACCCCCGTTGGCTGCCGCTCACACTGCAATTTAACAACATGTAGAACTATTCAGAGGTTATTGGGGCTGTCCAGTTTAACTCCACATACTGTTGTGTTGATGTAGCCTATTGTCAAAACGTTCATTCCAAGTTGACTATTAAACTAACAGCTGTTCGGACAGGCCTGCCCCCACTGCTAAAAAAAAATCCTAGAGGAAACACTGATATGCTCTTTAAGTGCAACCAGGGTAAAAAAAAACAATGGCAATCAGTTACATAGATTATAACATTTATTTAAGGTTAATAAGTTGCGAAGGAATTGACTTGCTTTTTCTGCATCAGTTCTTATCAAAACTCTGTGTGTGTGTGTGTGTGTGTGTGTTGCTTACCTCGTTTTTGGTTCCACTCATGGGCTTCCCCCAGAGCAGCAGGGTCAAACTGATATTCTCCATGGCGAGTGAAATAGTCGTCAGTGGACAGTCTAACTCCACCTGGGTTGTGCTCGACCAAGGCCCTAAACAAACAAACAAACAAACACAAACACACACACAAACACAAACACAAACACACACACACACACACACACACACTCCATTTAATCACTGTTCTCCAAAGCCCAAGATGATGACCTGAAATGTCTTCACATTTCAGAAGCTGAAATCAGAGAATTTGGACATTTTTCCTTTAGAAAATTACTCAAACCAATTATCAAAATAGACAAATAATTTAATAGTTGACAACTGATTAATCATTGCAGCTCTACTTGCAATCAAGTCTCTGTCTGCGTACTGTAGCTGTGATGAAACTACCACACTAGAGAGCACAGCGTAATTGCCATTTAGAGTATCACACCATTATTACCTTGCCAAGGTTGATTTGCCAGATCCCGGAGCACCACGTAGCAGCACAAGGACCTTCCCTTCTAGACGAAGCCTGCCATAATGAGTAGGATGTTGTTGAGGACCAGGCAGTGCCCAGGACTTAGGAATAGTAGCAGAAGGTTTAAGAGGTGCCTGTCGGACAGGCCCCTGAGTCAGCCAGGGAGAGGCCTGTCTGGGTTGGCTGGGCCAGTTGGAAGGCGTTTGAGCCACAGGGGTAATGAATGTTGGCCCCTGGTTTCCATGGGTGCGGGGAGAAAACACAGGTGCCGCCAAGTTCCAGGGTGACGCCATGTAGCCAAGTGGCTCCTGATTCGACAAGTTCATCTTAGATCTTGCTCCTCCGACTACCGCTTTGGAGGGAATGACCCCAGCCTTGTCTGCAAGAGTGTGCGGTGGGTCTTGCTTTTTATATACCTGGAAAGCCGAGGGACGTCCTGAAGCTGCCAGGTCCAAAGAAGGTTTCGGCTTGTCTGCAGGCGTCTCTGCCATCAGATGTGTGAAATCCACCGTCGACTGCTCCTGCTCTTCAGCAATCTCGTCTTCCCAAGTGCTGAGCTGGTCAAGCGGAGAGGAAGCTTCAGAAATATTCTCCACCAGGCCAGTAGAGGGCCCTCTGGATCCAGGTTGCATGCTGGACTGAAGCAGCTCAGGGAGGACCTGCTTTGGGAATGGTGGTGGAGGGAAAGAGGATAAAAACTGGCTGCTGTGGTACTTTTCCTTAACGTCTCGCTGTGTGGTTAGTGTCTCAAGCTCCTGATCGACAAGCAGGTCCAGCTCTTCTGTCAGGATGTTGGCAGAGGGAGGAGAGGAGGACAGCTGTGGTGGTCTGGAGGAGTCTGGTTCTGGTCTAGGTTCAGAAAAGTGCTGTGGGCTGAGCAGGGCTGCAGCAGTGCGCTCAAAGCCAGAGACAGGAGGAGGCATAGGTCCTACAACTTCAGCAGCCACAGACAGCTCCAAGAGAGAGTCCATTGCATTTTCAACTAGGAAACAAACAGAGGAAACACAGATACCAAGAAAAAGAAAAGAAAGTTTACTATATTTAACTTTTACAACTTATGATTCAATGTTTCAAAACTTTGGTATTTTAACACATTTTGCGTTGCTGCCCTCAGATAAAACTAAAAAAAAAGCCCATTCAAGTGGTAAAAACTTAAAGTGCATTAAAATAATACAATTAAAATAAACAAACCAAGCCTTCCCAGAAACCACACTACCACAACAATGAATACCATTTCATACATACCATTACAGTGAATAACACGATCAGTGTAGGAGTGAAGGACATGAGCGCCCTCTGGATTAGTGCTGTTACAGAACCTCGATGTCTACTCACAATACTTTTCAGCCTTTTAAATAACTGAACATTTTAACATATTTTAATTGTATGTAATGGGAATCGTCCTGTTGAACCTTCCACTTTCACCTCTGCTCTATATAGGGTAAATATTGACAGTGGAGATAAGTGCAGTGCAGGAACCTTAAACCTAAAGGTGTTTTATTCTGTAATTTCTACTGCTATACCTGTTCAGGCAGGAATCTGAAGTCATCTGACCTGGGATTCGTGACTTGCGCCCCCCCAGGCTCTGGAACAGCCTTTTTACTCTTTTAAGCAACAAAGACAGTTTGAAACAAGTGTATGGGACATATCATTGACTCATGAGTGGTGGCTTTTGTTTGGTCTTGTTTGCCATTTCTGATTTTATTCTACTTCACTGACTTCATAATCACATGGTGACACTTACTGGTGGTATGCAAGTACACTTAAAAGTTACACACATACAGGATCTGTCAACAGGTGGAAGAAGGTGCGTGGGTTTGGTGAACTAAAAAATGGCAAGGTTCCGTTTTAAATAGACTGCTGATACTGTCAATAACACACACACACACACACACACACACACACACACACACACACACACACACACACACACACACAAAGAGAGAGAGAGAGAGAGGAAACCTCCACTGTAAAGTAATCTCATGTGGTTAAATAGTTCCACACTGTCTGCTAACAAGCCTACCCCAGCTAGCAGGTTAGCAAAGTTACACTAAAATCACATTCCCCAAGAGTCACACAGCAGGTTGGACCATTAACTGGGCTTCCGTGTTTTTATAATGCTGCTAACCTTTAAAATCACACTCGGACAGCACGATGTAAATAACGTCGGGGTCCAGGTGTGAGAACATCTCCTGCATGCTTTTGACGATATTCTCCTTGATGGAGGCAGAGAGCGAGGTGCTGGATGGAAAGTTGTTCGCCATTGCACCGTCAAATCCCTGAGGTAGTCTGCTCCCCCCCTCTGGCGGCCCGCCGGGGACTCGGGCCGGGCTCTGGCCGTTTTTCTTTCTCCGAGGCATTCCGAGGCCCGCCGGGTGCTCTCATTAGCGGCCACACGGAGCTAACTTAAGTAGCTAAAGGGCTACCAAAGGTTTGGTCCGGGTCTGAAGACATGCTACTGTAGTGTCAGGCGGAGTAACCCAAGTGCAGCGACTGAAGGTTATGATAGCAAACAGCGCCCCAAGTGGTGGAAGTCACACCAGAAAATACAAAGCGGGCCTACTCGCCGAGTCCGCCAGAACGGTCAATACCGGAAATCAACACAGAGACTTCAAAATAAAAGCTTGTCAGAATCAGAAATATTTTATTGATCCACATTTACAGTTGCTTAAGGTGTTCACACGAATTAAAATAATAATAATAATAATAATAATAATTATTATTATTATTATAATAATACAATATCTAACACTATATATATATATAGACTAGAAAATAGAATAAATATATATATATATATATATATAAAATAAAATAGAAATTGAATCGATATACGTGGTTCCTGTTGGGGCTTGAGTATTTACCTCTGGTTTTAGTAAAAAGTGGTAATGTAATAATAACAAAATATTCAGAATTTAATTATCCCTAAAGTTGGACACATGGTGAGGCATCCTTTTAGAGGGTAGCAAAGAGTGTAAATGCTTTTAAAAGCAAACTCAAGACTTACATTTTTAGTCTGGCTTTTAATTGATTTTTATTTACTTATTTATTTGTCTATTTATTTATTTATTATTATTATTATTAATCTGTTTTAGAACTGTATTTGTGTGAACATAGGAGAAACATGTAATGTATCAAAAATAAAAGTACTCATATTCCACTCCCCGTCATTGCAAAATGTTCATATTATTATACTGGATTATTATGTGATACATAAACATGTAAGCAACATTTTAACTACTTGATGGATCCTTTGATCTATAACAGTGCTTAATCTTTTATGAGTTGACTTCTTTTTTTATTATAAAAATAAAATAATTATAATTATAAACAGGGGATTGTTAGATATGACCAATGCTGTGACACTCTGACCCCCAACCAATATTTATTTTCTTTTGTTTCCTGATTGAGTACCTGAATTTTTATAGATCCAGTAAACCCTGTTTTCATTAATGTATATAACTGAACATAATATCATGTCAGATGGTACTAAAACTATATAATAGTCTCAGAAAATAAGCTCATTAAAACAAAAGCAGCACTATTGAAAAGTGTAAAGTTGATTGAATCTCTTTTTAGTCACTTTTTGACTTGTTAATTACCAGTTGACCACTAGATGTCACTACTCTACTCTCTCAAGTCATTATTTTATAGAGAAAGTGAACCTTAATGTGTTATTGACTGCCACAGGTACTTTTAGTTGTAGTTGTAAAAGTATTGGTAATACCAATAAGAATCATAACAACAAACACATTGGCAGCATAAATAAGACTTGATAGACTATCAGTTTTAAAAGCCTTAAAAATATTTCACTAGCATACAACTACAACAATTACGATAATGGCAATGATTATTTTAGTATTAGTACATTTGCAATAGTTTTCTCCATACATGTGCCCACAAAAACATAAAAACAGATAAATGTCATAAAGCATATATTAATTCATAAAGAAACCTAGTGATTACATTAATAATAATAATAATAATAAACAAACAAAAAAGTAGACAAACACAGCCTATATTTTAAAAGATAACCCCACAATGGGGGTGAAGAACAGAAAAAGACTGTGAGTGTGAGAGCGGGTTGTTTCTGACTCCCGCCATGTATTTGGTTGTGCAGTACTCCCGTGAGACCGAGGGGGGCGCTCTGCACCCAGCCTTCACACAGACAGCACTGACTGAACGGACCGAGAGCTTTGTGCCGAAAACTAAACCCAACCTGTGTCAGACTAATGAATTAAAACGGCCCACTCCAGAGGTAAATACTAACGAGGAAACGCTTGGCAAATATCCTGCGGTTTTAGTCGTAGTTGTGTATTAGAAAATAGATTCATTTTGCATTTGTTAGGGTGTTCAAAAGCCTCCGTGGGGGCAAGTTGGTGTGAGAGAGAGAGAGAGGGAGAGAGGGGGGAGAGAGAGAGGAGGGCTCAGGGCGACGGTAGCAGCCCTTCTTCGCCTGTGAACTAGCGGCAGTCCGGAGCGATGCGTTGAAGTTGAAAAAAGACAGTAACAAGTAAATTAGCTTCGTTTTTAAACTTCACAAAGTAGTTGCATTTGTTGTAAACCACAGGAACTGACCACGAGCGGGGCTATTTCAGGCACAGATGAGAGGATACTTCACTTCCTCTGTGATTGTCTGTAGCTGGAGATGTGATGGGTACCTGAGTAGTTTGCGGCCTAGGCTAGCAGAAGTAGGCTAATACCCGTTAGCGAGCACGGCTAACGTGTATTAGCCTCTCGATGCTAACATTACTTCCTTCCCGCAAAATGCTAACCGCTAGCCAATGATGTGCTGACTAGCTAGCTCGCTAATTTGATAACCTGTGTGACAGTAGACATGTACCGACCGCTCTCGTTTTGTTTTTAAAGTGGGGTTTTCTCTACAACTTGGCGGTTCACATAGCCGCGATGTGTCCGAAGTAGCAGCTGCTCTGGTTTCTGTAGCTATACGATGTTTTCATGAGACATTTTGCGGAAAAATATGGAGCTGGTGTTTTAGCTGGGGCTTGTTTTAGCATGTTAGCTGATAATATGCACAATGCTGGTTTAATTTTAGCTTTCTGTCCGAAAAGTTTTCCGGATTAGAATATCGTTAAATACACGGGCACGGCGTTGTTAATTTTAGCGGGCAAAATTGACGATTGGCGAATGAGAATGATGCTTAAAACGAGGTTTTTGTAAGTGTGGTAGCATGGTTGTGTTGAACTTTTGTTTTCTGGCCCATAGAGGCCAGTAGAAGACCGTGTGGACCGCACATCAACAAGCATGGAGTTCCCGCAACAGCAGAAACCGGCGGGGGACGGAAAGATCATCTATCCTCCTGGAGTGAAGGAAATTACGGACAAAATCAGCAACGATGAGGTGGTGAAGCGGTTGAAGGTATGTTGTTGTTGTTGTTGATGGTGGTGGTGGTGGTGGTGGAGGGGGTTTCTTGCTGTCAAGATACGTTTTTCTGCAAAGCTTGACTTAATGTATCATCGTCCAGCCCCTGGCACAGCGCCTAAACCCTGCTAACTTTGTGAACTACTGTATATTAAGTCAAAAGAGGTCCATCTTCTCTCATCGCAAGGTATTTTCCCCAACCCTCCGTCTTGTTGTTGACTGTGTCTCAGTCTGTAAACAACACCCCATAAGCACTTCAGCACTACCAGGGTGCAATGATGTTGAGTGTGACAGGACACTGTTGTTCTGAAGTACTAAAGTCTAAAACTTTTCTCAGCATTTCATCTTGTGCTCTAAAGGGTGGAAACATCCCAGAATGTGAACACAAAACGAGCAAACATTGCACACTGAAGCTATTTTTACTGCAAGGCAACAAAACTGTGAGCCATGTTTGCATCCAGTCCTCAAAGAAACTGCCGTATAATTTAACACTCACAGCAATACTGTGATATTGATTTCAACCATATCACCCGGCCCTTCTTTTTGCTGGGTAGGAAACATGTTATGAACACAACATTAACACTTCATCGCTTTTTTAACAGTTGCTTGTTTATGTATCCAGTAGTTATGGAGCAACATTAGCATTCAGGTGAGTCATGTTTCTGGCCACCTGGCAAATGTAATTCCAATATTTTAATTTATTTTAGCTCTGCTTTGTGTCCGTACCAACTCCTGAGGGAAGTTTCTGCCTTTTAGCTGTTACATGTTTCAATATTTTCACCAGCTAGTTGCTAACTGCGCTGTTTTGTGCTGGGCAGGAAGTGTACAGTGGGTTTTTAGAGCTTTTTTTACTACCAAGCAGCTAAAAATGATGCTGTGAGAGCAGCGACAGTGAACCAGTACGGTAGAGTTGTGTGCTAGACAGCCAAACAATGAGCTGAAATTCTCTATAAAGCTCTGTAAAACTGAGGGGTGCTGCAGATTCAGGAGATAATTCTCTGTAGGTTGGTTCATCACTACATCATCCCCTACCCCCACACCTCAAACCCACAGCACTTTCAAAGTTGGCAACTGTGCGTCTGTGTTTACAGGGATTCTGTGACCTAATCACATTAGATTGTTTACTACACTAATACTGAAATGGTTTCCTGACATCCTAGAACTGTTTATAGAGTAGCATTGTGACCATAAAGCACACAACCATTGGCCTTGGCAAGCTGGACAAATGTGCTGAATGGCAGGTTGTTGACTGTGCAAGACAGATGTTTACAGATCCATTTAACCTCTGCTGTATACTGCTGAGAGTTGGACAGACTGACACTAATTGCATGTGCAGTAACCTAGCCAATCGTTTGGTGGAAGAGATTTAAGATGCATGTTGTACTGCCAGAAAGGCAATTAGCCAATAGACGGCTTATTTTATTAGGCTGATGTCCCAGTTATTCAGTCATTTTCATCTACAGTCAGCCACTATCAGAGGTCATTCTATAGTTTGGTCTAATGCCTGTTGTAGGTTTTATTTGGTCGCCCCATACAGATGAATAGTCATGTCAATATGGAGCACCAGAAGCTTTCTTTTATTTGAATAATGCACCCTGGCTTGCATTGTGTTGTGCTCGGATTTCCTGCACTGATTTTTTTTTTTTTTTAGTAGTGAGTTGTTTTCTGAAGCTGCTGATTTGTCTGGGACTCTTGTTGTTGCTGCTGCTGTTATTGTGTTTACTTTGACTCACCACCCCATTTACTCCCCTTTTATCCCTTTAGACATCATTACAGGAACTTAATGTGCTGCAGAACGCTGAATGTGTAGGAGTAGGTAACAAGCAAAGCCTGTGTTAGCCAGGCAGCATTAAAGGCTATATAAATGTATAACAGGTATTTAATCTTATGATTGATTCAGTTTACTGAATTTTTAGCAATTGTTTTGATCAAACATATGTATATTACTATATGTATCTACTAATATCTATTGTTAATTGCGATTGGTGGATAGTGGAGATGAGTGGATGGCCCCATCTACTTATCGTGGTGGTGGTGGGGGGGGGGATCAGTTTATGTAACAATCTCGATTGTTATCTTCTACAATTCGGAATTGATTCACAAACCTCAAACTTCACATGTGGTGGCACAATATTGCACCCAGATAGATACACTAGTGATATCTTGTAGTTCATCTTCAAAAAAGGAAAGCATTTGGGCTTATTTTGGATTTAATAACTTAATAAAGAGCTTACCATAACAAATGTGAAGTATTTGGTAGGCGGTGTGAACCAGGGCTTAGCAAAGCCATGCACTGAACTCCAGCATTAGCAAACAAGTCGGCTAACCAACACACACTGCAGCACTTAACAAAACTCTGGTCAGATGAAGCAAATAACTCTGTCCACAGTCTGTTTCATTTCCAAAGCGACAGACAGTGACCTTCATCAAGGCCTGTAAGCTTAACTGCCAGCTAGTTTTAATATTGCATTTCACTTTCAACGTTTCGCAGTAATAATAATTTATCTCTGAAACTGAAAGCACTTAATATTGTGAATAATTATGGTTAGATATAGATTAATGATCATTGCATAGCCATTCTGCTTGTATTGTAATGAAATAGAGGGATGTAGGTTCATGATCGTTGTTGTATAGTGAGTAACTCTATCATTCCATCCCTAAATGCAATTAAGATTGTAAAAAAAAAAAAAAAAACTTATTTCAGGCATTAACACAGATATTAACCATTAACATGCCATCATTTGAGCTCACATTTCTGGTGAAATAAGACAAATAATGGTGTTTATAGTTTTGAAAGGGTAATGGCTAATTGAGCCTTCCCAGTGGCAAAGTATTTTCAACAGCACAGTCTGGTCATGTACTCTTTGATCTATCAAAGAAAAGCACTGTGTACAGAAACAGGAGCACGGATGAGGAATCAGGACACAACATCTGCTAGATCTGGCTGTGTATTGTAGAGATTCAAACCACAGTTATTTCTCAGGGGAAATAACGCTCCTTTTACTGAAGGAATAGTTTAGTTGATAAATACCCATGCTCCTGCGGATAGTTAGATAAGAAGATTGATACCAATCTTGTGTCTGTATGATCTCCTCTCCACATCACCTGGTAATTAAAACCAGTAAATACCCTGAATAAAACAATTACACATTAAAAAAAATCAGTGTTTCTCCAACACTGTTCGGCAGGAAACGGATGTCCCAGAGGGCCTGCCAGCTGAGCTGCTGTTAGCTCATCTTGTTTCTCTGATAACTTAAGACGTTAAAAACCACCAGTATTTAAAGTGTATTATATATATATATTAAAAGTAAATTCATAACAGCTTCTGGCTGACAACCACCACAATGTTGATGCATGCACAAAGGTGATATGATGCCATTGACAGGCGACCTGCGAAATGCACAGTTACCTGAATAAAATTACGGATTTCTCTGAGTTTGAACATTGTTGGAAAAATTCTATATAGTCTAAGTACACAGCTCAACAAAATATATAACATTGGTCTAGTGTTTGTAGAATTTTTTATGCAAAAATGTTGCATATTATTGGTTTTATTACTAATCTTATCTTGAAAGATGCGTACTTCTCACTTTGCCGACAATCTCACCTCTACATCATATTATTTTGGGCTTTTTCTACTTTCACTGTACTGTTGTGATTCCTCATTGCTTTTAACCAAACCAGGTGTTTAGACCAGAAAAGGCGAAGGTCTGTGTTGGTGGGTTTTGTTGCTCCGGGTAAAAAAAATGACTAAACTCTGCACACGGCGCTATCACAGCGACATTTGTATCCCCCATGGCGCTGATCGCCAGGTAAACAAGAAACCTTGCCCTATTTATTTTCCAAAGTAATGTACCAGGGATGTGCTTGCATGTATTTGAGTGGCTATGGAGTTGCGTTACCAGATGACAAAAGTTTATTCAGGCTCTACTTTTAGTTATACTCCACTGTGCTTTGGCAGGTTTTGTTTGTTTTCTTGGAGTGCTGTCTGTTTGAATGCTACTGAAGGGTTCAAAACCCTGGCTAACCTGTTTGAATGACATCGACGAAGAAGGGTAAAAAGTCAAATATTTGACTCCTCCCTGGGAAAGGAAATGGCTGGCAGTTTATGGTTTATTAGATGTAATCAGAGCGGCTTGAATGAATTACAGGATTAAATGTGGCTTAATTTCACTAAAACATTTAGCAGAACTTGTGAAGTCTCAGACTTTGCACCAGCAGCCATTTGCCACATATATTTACAGACTGAGCTAAAATTCTGTCCCAATAAACTACAAAAAATCGAGGATGCAGAGATGTGCGCCTGTACTCCACAGCTCGACGGGCCCACATACTTGTCTGTGTGAAGAGAGCCTTCACCGGCTGGGTTGTGACTGTTTCAGCTAAGAACGGTGGAGGGTTGAGTGAGTGTGTGTGTGTATGAGTGAGTGTGGTGCTCTGCAGTCTGCTGGAGCTGTTGGCCCATCCCCCACCCCCGCTGGCTGCCTGGCTGTTCAGTGAGCTCCACTGCTCTGCTTTGCCTCTTTCTTATCTAGACACACACACACACACACACACTCACTCATCACTCTTGTAGAGGAAGTGGTAGTTTAGAGCATGCTGTCGTAATGCCTGTCCATAAGAACTGAGATGTTTGATTAGATTGGTGTGCATACAGCATCTTGAGACAATAATGGTGATGTCTAATTGAGAAAAAAATAAAACATTAATGGATAAGAATCCCTGTCATTTTAACCTAAGTCCTTTTATTTTATCTGCTATGAGATCATCCAAATGGACAAAGGGTCAACTCCTGTAAGCACTGACATCAAGAATAAATTCATTTAGGGTCTGTGTTACGCTGTTAAAGCCCTTTTTTATTTTGGTTATTTAAAGGACCAGGTCTGTAGGACTTGGTGACATCGGTCAAGTTGCAGATTGCAACCATTTGAATACAGCCTTTCAAAGTGTGTAGTAGAAACTACAGTGGCCGTGTAACTCGTAAAGCCGGAGCCAGTGTTTGGTTTGTCTGTTCTGGGCTACTGTAGACACTTGGCAGTTCAACATGGCCGACTCCATGGAAGAGGATCTGCTCCCTCTGTAGATAAACACGACTCATTTTAAAGTAACGAAAACAAATAGATTTTTATTTACATATTATTATACACTAATGAAACCACATGCATTTCTGCCAATAGATCCTCCTAAATGTCACACACTGGACCTTTTTTAACTCTAAAAGTCACAGCACACCTCTAGTAAGGGTAATGGCTTATTACCTTGAATTGCCCCCATAGATACTCAGTGTTCAAATATCTCAAACCCGAATTCTTGTCATTTAATTCAGTATCTCTTTTAATGATACAGGGGTGTCACACTCTCACCAAACTCTGAGGCTTTAAGTTGTTTTATCCTCATGTAGCTCTTAGCCTAGGTTCTCTGTTCGCACAAAGACTGTATGGTTGAGTCTCTCATCCATCCCTTCATATAAATTCAGTACAACCGTTTTCCAACCAACTCTGACAGGCCAAGTGACTTGTAACTGAGGCGGATTATAAAGTGCTCTGGATAATTGCTTAAGCTACCCTGAATGCCAGGGTTTATAGTTCATACCTGACTTCCTTCATGTTCTTCCTCATTTGGTCTTGGTAAATCTGTCAAAAACAACTAATTGGATCCTGTTAAACCATGGTTTTATTTTATTTTATTTTTTATTTAATGTTTAGTGTTCTAAGATGGTGTCTCATTCATTCCAGAAAAAGTTTCCCCCACATGATTCACTGATATGGCTTGTGAAGATTTGAGACCTTTTTATTGGACCTTATGGCTCCAATGATCTATTGATAATAGAGTCATTTCTAGTCTTTATTTTGTAATGATTGTGTATGGGCGAGGGGAGTCGGTCAGTATTTGTGCCTGTGGGTGTCATGTGATCTGCAATACCGACTGGGGCAATTATGCTAGAATTACCTCTCAAGCTACCACTGATCTGGGGCCTCATTTATAAAGGTTGCCACACACAGTGGCCTAAAAGGTGGCAAAATGTGTGTATGTGGAAAAAGTTGCGCATTTCCACACATACTTTCACCTAATCTAAGCTTGAAGCTCATGCAAAGTTTATCAGATACAGTGACTCAGAGACTTTAGAAAAACAAGACAAAGGTCATAATTTGTCATCAGTCTTCTTGTCAATTCGGTATCAATATGTTCCATGTAGACAAACTCTATTTCTGTACAAACTTTATATTTTGGATTTTGTTACCTCAACTCACCATCAGCGTCCGTTGGTTAGCTGTGTTATTTTAGAGGAAGAAGACAGTGGGAATGAGAGGTGGGCTGTTTATAATATTAAGATTTCTCTCTAAAATGAGTGCTTTGAGTCTGAAAAACTTTACAATTAGGTGCCTTGAAAGTGCTTGAAATTTACTATTAAAATGTTATACGAACCCTGTGATTGACTTTTCAGCTGACAGCGCTTTCAGTAGCCCGGATTTTATAAATGTTAAATAGTAAACGGGCTGCACTTATAAAACTGCTTTCTAGTCTTCCAACCACTCAAAGCACTTTACACTACATGTCACATTCACCCATTCACACACATTCATACACTGATGGCAGAGGCTGCCATGCAAGGTGCCAACTGCTCATTAGAAACTTTGAGCAGGATGCCAACTTGTACTTTTTCTGACTGTGTGAAATTTCACATCACAGATGACAAAGAAAGGCATTAAAAAAGTGAGGTAGGTAATTAATGACAGCCGGAAGATGAAAAGAGGCTGTCCACATCCTGTCCTAACCCTCTGCCGTAACGGTTCCACACTGATACTTCACTGCGTGGAGGAAATTGTGTAGATAACACAAAGCATTGTAGGAAACTGTCAAACTAAAGCTGTAATGGAGAGCTGTCAAATATTCAACTTGCTTTACTAATTTAAATTTTAGCCTGCACAAGGTGTTTCTCATCTCACCCTCCTCCCTTGTCGCTCTGTTTCACAGATGGTGGTGAAAACCTATATGGACATGGATCAAGACTCTGAAGAGGAGAAGCAACAGTATCTCGCCCTGGCGCTCCACCTTGCCTCAGAGTTCTTCCTCAGGAACCCTAATAAAGACGTACGGCTACTTGTGGCCTGCTGTCTGGCTGACATTTTCAGGATCTATGCTCCTGAGGCCCCCTACACCTCCCACGACAAACTCAAGGTGAGGAGCTGACCATGGACAACTGCCTGAAGCCTTCTATCAAGTGACTGAGCACTAACGTCAGGGGAATAGTATTCAAAGGCAGTCCAAGCTTCTCAGTTTTGCTGATTACATCAGTTGAAATGACAGCTTTCTGCAGAATTGACTGCAGAAAAGTCAACAAAATTGATATTCAAATTAAGAGATAGTGGTATGTTTGCAGAAGGAAAATCAAGTGCCCCTAAGATCTATTAAGTGTTTCCTGAAGAATCAACATTGCAAACCATCACTGCCTTTTCTGGTCAAAATTACTGTATTGAGAGCTTGCGAAGAAACTCAATACTAAAAAACAATTAACTCAATCACATGCTCAAGTTTTTTTCCTGTCTCGTCCCCAGGACATCTTCCTGTTCATCACCAGACAGTTAAAGGGGCTGGAAGATACCAAGAGCCCTCAGTTCAACAGATACTTCTACCTGCTGGAGGTAAGAAACCAGGGGCGGCTAAACTAAAGGCGGTTTTCTTAAAGTGTAACTAAACCCTTCAGTTCTGCTAGCTCCCTCCCTCTCAGTAAATATAAGGACAGTGACTTTAGGGGGCGTGGTCTGGACACCCACCGGGGTGACTGGTAGCAAGCTGGTAGTCAAAAGTAATGAGTAGCTGCTGTCAGACTCTCCGTGTCCGCACTGAAAACACAGAGTTCACCATAGATTTTACAGTCACTTAAAGCACTTTCACCGTCGTTTGTAAACTTTTCTCTGTGTGGTACCTGTGTTGTAGCTAAACTAACAGCTCAGAGAGGCTAACTCTCCCGGTGTGTGTCTGTCTCACTCACACTGTTTTTTTTTTTTTTTTTAATATATAAATGTTGTGATGCCCCAAACGGTCAACTCTATCTCAGCATTTGGCTTAAAACGTACAGGCTGATGTAACAGTAGAGGGTGTGTAGATCCATTTTTGACCCACAAAATGCTGATTTCCATAAATTAGGTAATAATCTAAATTTCAACACCTGTATTGTTGTCACAATATAGTTGTGTAATTCAGTTTACAGTTAAAAAACAAACATGTTTTAAGGTGGAGTATCTCTTTAATTGTGGTTCAAGGGACAGTACAACGAGCTGCTAATATTGTTTTGTGTGTGTGTTCCTCTAGAACCTGGCATGGGTGAAGTCATACAACATATGCTTTGAACTGGAAGACTGCAATGAGATCTTCATTCAGCTGTTCAAAACACTCTTCTCCGTTATCAAGTAAGGCGCTTGTTTAACTGCTGCTGTATCATTGAGTAAAATCTATATATCTATATATATCACAAATATCAGACCCTTTTTACATTCCAGCACAATCCTGCTGGTAGTGGTCTCAGTTTGTCTTTTCATTCCTGTGTCTCTTCCTCCACAGTAACAGCCATAACCAGAAGGTGCAGATGCACATGATGGACCTGATGAGTTCCATCATCATGGAGGGAGATGGAGTCACACAGGAGCTGCTGGATACCATCCTCATTAACCTCATCCCTGCACACAAGGTAGGAAACAAAAAAACACCAAATTGTTCACATTTTGATTACAAATTTTCTTTTCTTTCTTTTTCTTCAATAATAAAATCTGGGGGGGCGCCTAGATAGCTCAGCTGGTAGAGTCCTTACTGCAGCGGCCATGGGTTCGACTTGACCTGTGGCCCTTCTCTCTCTCTCTCTCTCTCTCTCTCTCTCTCTCTCTCTCTCTCTCTCTCTCTCTCTCTCTCTCTCTCTCTCTACACAAAATAACACACAACTCGGTTTATAAAATTAGCATTTGCAACACAAACAATCAGTTGCTTCTTTGAAAATTTCATAATTTTTTCCTCTTTGCATTCTAATAATGGAAACCTATTCTGAGCTCTCCTCACCACAAGAGAAACCTTTATTACTCTAAACTATAATGAATGGTGTCTGTTTGGAGCAAGAACAGCTTTTCATCTGTTTTTTACAACAATCAGCCTAGGATACTTTCTTGCAGATGTTCTGTATTGGTAAATGTTTGATTAGTTAGTCGAACTGACAGTGAACATCTTACTCAGTGTTTAACTTTCCTTGGAACAGAATCTGAACAAACAAGCGTACGATCTTGCCAAGACTCTGCTGAAGAGGACCGTCCAGACCATAGAGACGTGTATTGCAAACGTGAGTAGCAGCCTCTATGTCTCAGTTATTCATTTTGAGTTTGCCCCTGTGTTTTTGTTTTTGTCACTCTCATCCTCACACTCTGTCTACATAAATCACTGTGTGTATCTACGATGTATCTTGTTTAATAAAGTATTTATCTCCTTCCTCAGTTCTTCAATCAGGTTTTAGTGATGGGCAAGTCATCTGTCAGCGACCTGTCAGAGCACGTCTTTGATCTCATCCAGGAACTGTTTTCCATCGACCCTATGCTGCTTACCTCTGTCATGCCACAGTTGGAATTCAAACTTAAGGTTGGCACACGCATACACAGTCAAAATGATAACATTATATCTCACCTCAGACCACAGAAGATTAGTTCCTCTTGATGCTCAGATTTGAAAGAACAATGTGTTTCAGCTTGAGTCAGTTTCGCCTCACAGTAGTGCAAGATAATAGCCATGCAGGAACATAAACAAATGGAAATGGAAACTAATGTAAAGTTTTAACATGTATTTTTAAGAGCAGCCATTGCCAGATGGCAGTAGAGACTTTCACCATTCACTCTCACATTTACACCTACGGGCAATTTAGAGTCACCAATCAACCTAACCTGCATGTTTTTGGACCACTCTAAAACCCCATAGTACTGATGGTTTCTTGGGTTTCAGCGCCATGACCACATTAAAGGACGCCTCTGCCGAGCACTTAATGTGGGCAGCTATCATACTATAGCTGTTTTTGTATGTACCACAGACTGTATGAATATTAATCAGTTTGGATGTTGATTTTTCTGATTCTGTTGAAGAGAGATGCAAGAACAGGAATTATTAGTATTAAAATGTACTTAAAAATGTAATTTTCCATATGGCAGTGGCAGTAACACTTGTGCCTCCCAACTCTGTATGCCAATGTTGCTACAGGCTGTGCAGATATTGGATAAGAGCAGCTTGAGATGGTTGACAGTTTGTCTCACTGGAATTAAATGAATATTAGTTTGAAAAAGAGCCCAAAAAATGCAACTTGCATTTCATGTGTATTTGTTTTGTGTTTGCAGAGCAATGATGGTGAGGAGCGTCTAGCTGTTGTACGGTTGCTAGCTAAGTTGTTTGGGGCCAAAGACTCAGAGCTGGCCTCACAGAACAGACCACTGTGGCAGTGCTTCTTAGGACGGTGAGTTACATGAATGCTTTGCAGACATACACACAAAGTGAAGCTTTAAACTGACCAGGTTCAATCAGGAAAACGTGGAATACACAATATACATTATTAAAGATATATATATATAAAATCAGTGTCATTTTATTAGGTAAAAGTAGGATTTTCCCACGGTGGAGTCTTAAGACTGGTGGTTGTAAATATCTGGAGCTGATTGAAGAGACTTCCTTCTTGAGTTAGATTAAGCGGTAGATGGTTTGTAGAGAAGTGAAATTTATGAATTCTGTTTATCATAACTTAATTGGTAAATTGGAAGTATCAGTTCAGGTTAAAAGTTTGAAACACGCATAATAAATTGTATGAATTGACAGCACAGGACGTTCGAGAAGAGAACAAACGGTAGTCTTTGCTTATTTTTATATAGACACTTTGTATTTCCTTAGTCAGTCACTTGCTTTCTCAAAGCATGATGAATATTTGAGTTGCTTTCATTTTATATAACTGATGTTTTTTTTTTCAGGTTCAATGACATCCATGTTCCAGTCAGGCTAGAGTGTGTAAAGTTTGCCAGCCACTGCCTCATGAACCACCCAGACCTGGCCAGAGACCTGACAGGTGCGCTTTGTTGTTTTTGTTTTTTTTTGTTTTTCTGACTCACTGTCTCATTCACTCTCGTCTCCCCTCTAATTCAACCCGTCTTTCATATTATGCTCTGAACAAAAATGTGGTTAAATGTCTTTCTCCTTATTATCCAATCAGAGTATTTGAAGGTGCGTTCCCATGACCCAGAGGAAGCCATTCGCCATGATGTCATTGTCACCATCATCAACGCCGGGAAGAAAGACCTTAACTTGGTCAATGACCAGCTGTTGGGTTTCGTACGGGAAAGGACCTTAGACAAGAGGGTGAGACGAATAACTGCTTATATATGGAGAATCATTAGTGCACATATTATTATACACAGCAGTACGGGAATTTCCCTTCATACTTAAAGAATTGTAAATTGACATAATTCTTTAATTCTGTCATCCCTGACCTGTTTTTTTTCCCTTCCCTTTAGTGGCGTGTGCGTAAGGAGGCCATGATGGGCCTGGCTCAGCTTTATAAGAAATACTGTCTTCACCATGAGGCTGGGAAAGAGTCTGCCCAAAAGATCAGCTGGATCAAAGACAAACTGCTGCACATCTACTATCAGAACAGCATCGACGACAAGTGAGCACATATGCAGATGTATAAATCGTTTCATGTGGAAAATAACACAGCTGTTTTAGACATTTAAATTATTCATAACATGACTTAGGTTGAGGTTGCCAAGTATAAACAAGTATAAACCTTTGGCGAAACCACAGATAAAACTAACTGGCGTTTAAAAAGCTTGAGGTACTTTGCCTGTTGCATAATAAATGTATTTAAATCTGCATTAGTGAGACTTGGACTAATAGACAGTATAAAAGATGTTAAAGTGGACCAGCTAAGACTAGTGATAGTTAAACTGATCATTGTCATATTGTGGATTTCTTACTTGATCCATTCTCCCTGGTAATATATTGTATCATTTAATGTGAACTCTGCCCTCTTTTCTACAGGTTATTAGTGGAGAAGATCTTCGCTCAGTACATGGTCCCTCACAGCCTTGACACGGAGGAGAAGATGAAGTGTTTGTACTACCTGTATGCCTGCCTGGACACAAATGCTGTCAAGTCAGTAAACCTGCAATATTGATGCCTCTCACCACAAAAACACACACACACACACACACACACACACACATTTTTAGATTGTACACACGAATACACAATGGCAAGCACAAACAACACACTAAGGAGAAAATATTGATCGTCCTCTGTGTTTTTGCCACCTCTCTTCTCACCTGTTTCTTGGTGTAATTGATCTTTGTTTTTAGGGCCCTGAATGAGATGTGGAAGTGTCAGAACATGCTCAGAGGGCTCGTCAAAGAGCTGCTGGACCTCCACAAGCTGCCTGCGGTGAGTTGACAAACATACTAAACTCTTCTATGTCTTCTGATGCAAATGTTTCAACATATCTGACATGTTTCCCTCTCTTTCCACTTGTAGTCCGAGGCCAATAACACAGCCATGTTTGGGAAGTTGATGAGTATTGCCAGTAAGTTGGAAACCACACAAACATTTTATTTTTCAACCCACACGCAGTATCATTTCTTCAGAATGGTAATGGTTTATGCCACTTAATGTGACTGACATACTAATTTTAACTCTGCTTTATGTTTACAGAGAATCTGCCAGACGCTGGAAAGGCCCAGGACTTTATGAAGAAGTTCAACCAAGTTCTCGGTGAGGATGAGAAGCTCAGAGTCCAGCTGGAGATGCTTATCAGCCCGACCTGCTCCTGCAAACAAGCTGAGATATGTGTGGTGAGAGGATACTGCACACATATCCATTTAGCATAAACACTCACTCACAGACAGATTGCCAGTTTCTTTTTTTCTCCCTTAATCTTTAACACATACACACAAGTGTTAATATTGTTAACACGCTGGCCACAAAAATGCAATAAGGCTAAATGCTGTGGGCTTGCTTTTGAGCCTATGTCTGACACTGTAGCTGTCAAATCAATCAAGGTCACTTTAAATCCCAGAGGACTATGTGTTACTTATTAGTTACTGAAAATTATCCGTTTTATCTATGTTTTTAAATTGCGGTCACTTTCTTTTTGCACAACTTTGTTCACCAAAATGAATATTGTAGTATCAGGAAATGTTGTCGAACTATAAAAGCTTCTACTAGTACATTAATCAACACCAGATCAATACTTGATGCCTCTTTAACCATAACAGAGAAAAACATTCAGCCTCTATTTTTGTTTTTATCCTTATAATGTTAATCAGCTATCACATAGTTATTATTATTATTATTATTATTATTATTATTATTATTATTATTAGAGACCCAGAGAGCTTACCACTCCACCCTGTTTGATTTTCATCTAACCAGTCACCATGATAGGAAGGTCATGGTTGAGCCAATCTTGAATTAAAATCAGAATAAGAAACAATGACAGCTTTTTCTCACCATGCTCTTCATGTATGGATTTCAGTTAACTGTGATGTGAGCACAACTCAAGGGGTCAAAGAATGAAGGGACTCCTAGATTTAGTAATATAAACCTCTCTGTAAACACCTATGCAGACATATAAGCAAAAACCCATGAAAATGTTGGTATTAATTGTGTACTGTTTGTACTCTGTGCAGAGGGAGATCACCCGGAAGTTGACATTTCCCAAACAACCCACTAACCCGTTCCTGGAGATGGTTAAATTCCTGCTGGAGCGCATCGCCCCGGTCCATATCGACTCTGAGGCCATCAGGTCAGAAAAAATCCTGACATGTTCAACACGCCAAGTATTGCGGTTTGGTCAAATTTCACAACAGACCACAAATATTAGCATATGTTCAAGTCTTAATTATAATACCATTAAAGTGGACTAGAGTCAATTTTGGTTCAAATTTTAAAGCTATGAAATTGGATTGTAAATCCTGTTCTATTAGATTTAAGTGTCTTTTTGTGCAGTGCACAAAGAGGCAGTCATAAGACAGACCAGCAGTCTGTGTTCCACTATCTCAGTGATCGAGGCACAGGGAGTACATGAAGCTCCCTGTGTCATTGTGTAATACCATAAACAGGCTTTTCTCATTCACTGAGACACCTAGTGGTGGTGAGCTGAACCTGCAGGCATTAGACGAGGAACACGTTTAACCCTTTCTGCTTTATGGAAAAACACCATGAGAGAGGAAACACACAAACTGAATGACTTCTACTGCTTCAGTTATGCAGTGTAACAATTTTTTTTATGTTGAATAGTTGATATTATGTTGTCAAAAGATATCCTAAAGTGGTTCAGATTGTCATGTTCCACATAGGTTTATACATTTTAACCATCCCTTTGTTAAAACAATGTAATGTTTTCTTTTAGTGCACTAGTGAAGCTGCTGAACAAGTCTATTGAGGGCACAGCTGACGATGATGAGGAAGGCGTTACCCCTGACACAGCCATCCGCTCTGGCCTGGAGCTACTCAAGGTATATCGCATGAAACAAGCATACTGTGATGTGTGATGAGTCGTTAACCAGCTTAAACACGAGAAATACTGGATTGTGCATTTTTATGTAAGTGATATGACTAATGAACAGAAGAAAAAGTAAATAATTTCCCCCCCTTTTTAGGTCCTGTCGTTCACCCACCCTACAGCATTCCACTCGGCAGAAACCTACGAGTCTCTGCTCCAGTGTTTGAAGATGGAGGATGAGAAGGTGGCAGAGGCAGCCATCCAGATATTCAGGAACACAGGGCAGAAGATAGAGACAGAGCTACAACAGATAAGATCGTAAGAGAGAAATTATATTAAACTTTCAAGTGCAAGTGATAAATTCAAACCAGAGACATTTTTATTTGACAGTAACTGGTTGTTAAGTGTCGACTACAGAAGAAGGGCATTATACATTTAAATATTAGAACAATACTGTACAAGGGAAAAGAGACAGACAGAAGGATTGGGGTTCCACACTTTTGTCATTAATCATACTGATCCAGATCTGGATTGAATAAAAGGAATAAGGTGTTTTGTGTTAGTCTTCCTAATGTCTGTTCTTATTTGTCCATCAGAACTCTGATTCCCATCCTGCATCAGAAAGCCAAGCGGGGAACACCTCATCAGGCCAAGCAGGCTGTTCACTGTATCCATGCCATCTTTAACAACAAGGAAGTGCAGCTGGCACAGATTTTTGAGGTAGGGGACAATTTCCTAACTTACTGGCCTGCAGGGATGTACTTCGTATTACAGAATAATGTTTTTTTAATCTAGTTTAACTTGCGTTGTACAGCAGTTGCTTGTCTGCTGTGTTTCTATGTAATCTTCTTTTAAATGTTTGTGTTCAGATGCACTCACACTGTTTTTTTTCCCTTCACCCCTAGCCTCTGTCACGTAGTCTCAATGCAGATGTCCCAGAGCAGCTCATCACTCCCCTTGTGTCCCTGGGCCACATCTCCATGCTGGCCCCTGATCAGTTTGCTTCACCAATGAAGTCCATTGTGGCTAACTTCATTGTCAAGGACTTGCTCATGAATGACAGGGTGCGTGGAGATCAAACTGTGTACTGAAACACACATAATTGTATGCAAAGAAAAGAGTAAGAATGTGACTGTGATGTGCCTTTTGTCTCTCCAGTCGGTGGGAAACAAGAATGGGAAGCTGTGGACCACTGATGAGGAAGTTTCACCAGAGGTCCTAGCTAAGGTAAACAACAAACACATCAAACAAACACGTTGCGTTATGTCATCTCATCAACAACATCTTATGTTTATAACAAAGATTTGACTTTTGTAATGAAAAGAGAAATATGTGTTGTATGCAGGGTCTTCTCTTTGCAGGATTATTCATGCTCTTCCTGTTCCCACAGGTGCAGGCTATTAAGCTGCTAGTGCGTTGGTTACTAGGCATGAAGAACAACCAATCCAAGTCAGCAAACTCCACCCTGCGGCTGCTGTCAGCCATGCTGGTCAGCGAGGGAGACCTCACAGAGCAGAAGAAGATCAGGTAACTTGGGTTGAATGTCACTGTGCTGAGTCACAGTAGAGCTGTTAGAGGATTAAACTCTAGTGGAGGGATATGCAAGAGTTCAAAAATGGCTAACTTTGGATGGAGACCTTAAGCATGTTATCTTGCTAGCGTAACTTGCAACAAAGAATTTTTCATTTAATTCTCAAACATGGGAGCTTTTAGGAGTAATTATAAAGTTAACAACCTGTAAGAGTGGTTTAATTTAATGATTTATTACAGATTCAGAGGTTCAAATTTGTCATTGGTAAATTGATTTAAATGTTCTTGTCTTCCTATCCTTTTGCCCCTTTTGTTATTTCTTCCTCCTCACAGTAAATCAGACATGTCTCGTCTGAGGCTGGCTGCCGGTGGAGCCATTATGAAGTTGGCACAGGAGCCCTGTTACCATGACATCATCACACCTGAACAGTTTCAGCTCTGCGGCCTCGTTATCAATGTCAGTCCCCCCCCACCCCCACGTCACCTTTTAATAGGCCTTTTAGGAGAAGCACAGATGTTAATAATAAAATCAATAATGACTTAATTCCTTTTAGCTGCTTCAGATTTCTCGTGTATTGTGCATTCTGGCTCAGAATGGAGCCACCATTAATGTTGTTAATAACACCTGCACTTTGCCTATTATGACTTCAATGCTGTGACAGGCCTATTGTAATATGCACAGTGTACTTTACACAATGAGCACACATTTTTACCTGTCAATAGATTAATTTGCAGCTTGTTATATGAATAAAAGAAAATATTCCCATTAGTCAGTGCTAATAATCTTCTTCACTCTCTTTATATAATTGAGTCGCGTGTCTTGAGTTTTGACTCCACTATGTCTGTTCCTTTATACATACAGGATGAGTGCTACCAGGTTCGTCAGATCTTTGCTCAGAAGTTGCACTTGGCTCTTGTCAAACTAATGCTGCCACTGGAGTATCTGGCCGTCTTCGCCCTCTGTGCCAAGGACCCGGTGAAGGAGCGCCGTGCCCATGCCCGACAGTGCCTCCTCAAAAACATCTCCGTCCGCAGAGAGTATATCAAACAAAACCCACTCGCTCAGGGTCAGTGTTCAATCTATGAATGTTTTCCTGCTGAAGCTTCATGTGCTCCAAGGTTACACACCTGCTGATGTCATTTTAAAGAACATAGCTTTGACGTTTTTAATCTGTGCTTTATTGGACAGAAGCCAAGTTTCCATCCAAACTTGGCAAATAAACTGAAATTCCAGAAAACATGCAAAAGAAAATGCAGTTTAATGTTTCCATCCACTACTATTATGCAAACATTAGGAAAAGGTGGAGCTAGTTTTCCGCAGTTACTATTAAACCACTGCTGGTGGCGTGATGTAAATATGCTAATTAAACGTCCAGTGTGTAACATTTAAGTTACCGCCACGTAGGTAATAGCCCAGTACAGGCAAACGTAACACTGGCTATAGAAATGGCATTTTGCTTTTTCCATGAGTTTCACAGCCACCGTAGTGGTTTTAAGATATGTGCTTTGCTGCTAGATGCCACTAAATCCCACACCCTGGTCCCTTAAGTTCATTACATGTATTAATTTGAGGAAGATTACAGTCTTCTCATTGCTTCACTTACATAGGCTGTTTTTATTCTGCCCTACGTTTTTGTCTCTTCAGTAGACGTTTAAGTCACATATTTCATATCCATGAATTATTTGCTTTATTTTGCCATAATGTTGCATTTAGTTTTTATTGATACACCAAATGTTCCATCTCAGCGAAGGGTTGCAACAATATTTCTAATGTTTCCGAAACACTTGCAGACATTATAATGAGTTATTCTCTCTTTCTCCAGAAAAACTTGTCTCCCTCCTTCCTGAGTATGTCGTTCCCTATATGATCCACCTGCTAGCTCACGACCCAGACTTCACAAAACCACATGAATATGAACAGCTCAAAGACATCAAAGAGTGAGTGTTTACTGTATTTTGGTTTTGTGTCCTGAAATGTCCTGTCCCTGAATCTGATGATACAGCTGGGAATATGTCTTTTAATAAAAAAAAATAAAAACAATTTATAAGAACAAAATACCCCAAAACTTGTGACATACAGTATGTTAATTGTGCTTATGTGTGTAGGTGCCTGTGGTTCATGCTGGAAGTGCTGATGACCAAGAATGAGAACAACAGTCATGCCTTTCTTAGGAAGATGGTAGAGAACATCAAACAGACCAAGGATGCACAGTGTCCTGAAGATGCCAAGGCCAATGAGGTACACAAACACACACAGAAGTACAAAAGTGATGAGACACAAGACAACAGAGCCAGTCATACACAAGCAAAAGCATCAGAAGCAAATGTCCTTTTGAAATTACCTTTATGGCTAATGTGTAAGAAAAGGAAAACAAATATTAAATTTATTCTTACACATGGAGCTTTAGGAGTAATAATAAAGCTAACATCTTAAATAAAATTATTTATTACAAATTCAGTAGTCTTAAGATACTAGAAAGGATGGTATCATTTTAGACTGACTATCTGCGAGGGCTACCCTAAAAATGTTGGATTGGTTTTGCAATGCAGTTTTGTTGTTTGTTTTTTTTACTCTCTAATTGTTTCCAATTTTAGAAACAAGAAGCTGAGATTGTCTGCAGTTTTTATTCAGAAAAGAAACGTGCATTTGGTTGGACCTACATGATAGTTGCAGATCTGTGGCACACATGGGTTCCAATGAATGTTTTCTAAATTTAAAACTATATGGCAGCTATAGCACCACCAGCAGGAGAATTGTCCCCACTTTGAGCACAGAAATCACTGGGGACCAGACAGCTGTGCATTTTATGTTCATGGAAAGGTAGTTTTTGTAAAGGAAATCAAGGAATCAAAAACGATAGACTAAGAAGTCTTTGGGTCCAGTCATCTAATTATCCATCATCCATCATCATCATCATCTAACATTGTGTCTCATGTCCTTGTGATTACAGAAGCTGTATATCGTCTGTGATGTTGCTCTCTTCGTTATCGCCAACAAGAGCACCGCATGTCACCTGGATTCTCCGAAAGACCCTGTCCTACCCTCCAAGTTCTTCATCGTACAAGACAAGGTAATACACACACACACACACACACTCTCACACTCACACACACACACACACACACACACACACACACACACACAAACACACACTTCTACCTTATCCAGACATCTGAAAACATAAATACAACACTGAACACTTCAAAGATATGATCAATATGAGCACACCTCTCTAAGATTAAAGCCCAAATCATGACCGTCGTGATTTTGCAGTTTGTGCTAATCAAAGTTTTCCATTGTGGTTTCTTTCAACAGGACTTCAAAAATGATAAAGAGTATCTGTTGACAGAGATGAGACAAATGCTGCTCACTGGAAAGGTAAATGGAAAACATGTGACGCCCTCTTGAACACTGTAAATAGGAGCACCACGCAGTGTTTTACTGAGCAATCCACATTATAGGTTAATATTGCTTAAAATTGTAACAAGGGTAGTTTAACTTGAAGGAGTGATGGAAAGGCAGAATACACAATGACATTAATACTTTTTTGGCCTTCACTGAGAAAGTGAAATACGTAACAATATGGGTGTTACATTGTTACGTACATTGTGCACTCTGTACTGTATAGAAATATCTGTATTCTCAATATAATACAGGTGAACAGAGAATTGAGTGATGTTTTGAAACTTAAGCACTGATTATTTTTGACACACAACATAATCGTTGGAGATCTTAACCATCAGATGCTTTTGCCTACAACTCAGCCTAAACCCGCTCCAGTGTTGGGAGCTGTGAACAAGCCTCTGACAGTACCAGGAAGGAGGATCTTCACCAAGACCACCACAGCCTCAGACACAGCCAGTAACACCAGCACCAACTCTTCCCCATTGAGTTCCTCAACCATCAACAAGAACAGGTACAGACACACACACTCGCTTGAACATACATTATTACAAATAATGCTTTCTTCAACTGAGTGATTTTTTTTATTTTTATTTTTAATGTGTCCTCTAATAACAGCAATGCTGCCACTGAGTCATCAGAGAGCCGAGCGCAGGAAAACAATGAGAACCCAGTCATCAAGAATGACGAGGGCAAAAAGGTAAGCTCAGACAGGACAACCAGACGTCAACTGGACGTTGAGCAGAGTTACCTTGACTGAACTTTCCTCAACTGTGTCTCTCTCTTAGGAGGAACCAAGTCAGAATGCGACCCCTGACGCCGAGACAGAAGCATCGCCTGTCAAACGACGTGGCCGTCCACCGAAAACGGCCCCTGCTGCTCCTGCGGGGGCTGATAAAGAGGGAGCCGCAGCACCAACGGGGGGTGGAGCCGGCAGAGGCAGGAAGAGGGCAGCTGACCCCAACTCCAACCCATCGGTAGAGTCACTCAACATTAAGATGTCAAAACAGCAGCAGCAGAACGATGAAGGGACAAAGAGACAGATTGACTTGCAGAGGTAAGAGTGGAGAGTGGAGTCAAGGAAGAGTGTGTCTCTCTAGTAGGTTAGCTTCTAGTAGCTTTGGCACATAAACAAACACAAAGTAAATTGACAAGAAAATGCTTGACAATTGGTGCTTTTCACTTTGTAGTGTGTCCCTTTTAATGCTGATGAATTTACCCTCATTCTGAGATTGCACAGAAATCCCATCATCCTTTAGATGTCAACTTTTTTGTCTTCAGGTGGCCATTTGTGGACAGAGAGAATGAAAAAGTGAGAAAGGAGGAGTCTGCAGAGGAGACAGGGAGAGCTATAGGGAAGGTCGCCCTCCTCTTGGGCAGTGAGGGTGACACTGAGATAGAGCTACAGTCCAGCCCAGAGGTTGTTATCTGTGGTGGAAAGGACAGAGAGAGATACCGCCAGGGAGATACCAAGTCTAAAAGGAGGGGAATTCCTTCTGGCAGGCAGGGAGAGCTCAACAGTGGAGACGAGGCAGGCGGGCTTGCAGTGAGTTGGTTTAGTCCAGGAAGTCTCTAAACACAGCGTATCCCAGATATTTGGTATGAGCTATATGAGCTTGTCTGTTAAAGAAGGGTTTGTGGAAATACGCTTATTTTCTTTCTTTCAGTTAGATAAGAAAATTGATACCACTCTCTTTTATTCGCGCGACTAGATCCCATACAAAGTCAATACAAAGACACGAAAAGGTGTAAATTTGCACCAGGTGATGCAAATGACGTGACCGTGCGAAATTCGCCTCATTCGCGATTTCACACCAGTTGAAAATATTGAGCTTTGAGCGGAGAGACGGTGCTGCTGCTTGCCCACAGACTGCTGCTTGAGCCACAATCTTTTATCTGTCTGTGTGCACCCAGAGCTTTATAATTCATATGTATACAGAGACCATAAAAGAGATTGTTGGAGAAAAGTAAAATAGGAAAGGCATCCTTTTGATTAAACCACGGCAAAATCTGTTTATTTTAGGCTCAAACCAGCGTTATAAACCAGATTAAAGGGCGAATATTCTCTTGGCCTTCGGTGGGAATACAACATTATACGTGATACAACAATGAGGGTGGTATCGATCCTCTCATCTAACTCTCTTAAAGCGAATAAGTATTTCACAAAATGTTGAACTGTTCCTTTAAACTGTGTTTATAGGTGCACAACAACACTGTAACACATCAATTTCAGTTTACCCATCACAGACAGTACTGTTCAGTCTGACTAACTAAGTTTACACCTGGTATTAACATGCTTCTTGGGTGATCTGATCACAAGTGGACAGCTTTAAATGTCAGTTTACACCTGGCATTAGAGTGCCAGAGAGTGCGTCTCCACGTGCGTTTCAAGTGACCACTTGTGGTCTGATCTCACGCCCCGCTCTATATGCAAATAAACACTATATGTCTGTACTTTACTCAAACTTTTGTCAGTCACTGTTCATTATTACTGACATTTTTTTCAGTTCAGCGCCCCACTAGTCCGTCGCTTTTACCTGCGCTGTCAGCAGCCCTGCAGGAGAGGCGCTGGTGCACTATGGTATTTTATAATTGAACTTTATCAGCAGTACACACACTTCTGCTTTTTCGATTGTGTGGAAATCTGATGTTTTCACATTCCCGATGACAAAGAAAGGCATTAATGCCAGAGAAAGTAAAAGTATGCATCCTGCTCCCATCACAAAGCGTGTCTCCTACCGCAGGGCTGCTGGCAGGCTGTCAGCCCAAGAGTCACTCACAGTGGGCGACAGAGGAGGTGGTACCGCCAGCTAGAAGAAATCCTGTGTAATGTTCCCCGAATTTACAAGAAGGCCCAAATAATTGGTTTCTAAAGTTTCTCCTCACTCAGTAACTCTCAAAATTATGCTATTTTTTTATGGGAGTCAGTAGTTATTTGTTTTAACAAACATCTGTTGCTTATCTTGGCAGGTAAAAGAGCCTAAGCAAGTAATTTACATTACAGTGAACCAAATATACAGCGTTTTGTGTGTACTTACAGGATGTCAGTTGAGTAGTTGGTCAGTCAGTGTGGCCCAGGATGCATTAGCGTTTACGCTACAAAAGATATGTGGTCAGATGTGTCCCAGACCACCTCGGCAAGTGGTTTGAGTGATCAGATCAGAATGCGCCTCAGATGTCGTTTACACTTGTATTTAGACTGTCCACTTGTGATCGGATCAAGACACGTTAATACGTGTAAACGGGCAGTAAAGTAAGGATATTTCAGTTCCCCAATATAATGGAAGTGCAATACCACATCACTGGAGTCCACCTGAAAGAGTGTGACTAATTATGAAGGGCTGACAGTCAGTTTGCACAGGAGTTCACTCAGGGTTTTATTTTTTTGGATACAAGAAGCATCTCAAACGGTTTCTTTCATACAAAGTGGTTTGCATCAGCCATTGCACGCAACACTCAAACATAGAAGATATTACAGTTTGTATTTGCAGTAATTCACTTGTGATATATTGTATAATGGTTATTCTTAGTGTTATTATAGTAACAGACATCCTCCTGTATTTTTGTTTCTACACACGTCTTCAACAGTACTTTTAAGGAAATATCTCAGTGAAAAAACCTTAGGATTAAAGTTTCTGGCAAGGAATTCATTAGTTCTCATTAACATTTTTTTGTTGTCAGCCCAGTCATCTTTGTTCTTTTAATCTGAGTCTAAACATTGATGTCTTTCAGGTAAAGAGGAAGCCGGTGAAGATGAAATCAAGACTGTAGAGAAATGGGCCAGACTCTTCCTCACACCTTCCCAACCTTACGCACACTGCTCCTCTGACTCTAAAGCTTTCCTGGACACATTATGGACCTTTCTTAAAAAACACACATGTACACACACATGCAAACACACACCACTGACATCCTAGAAGGTTTTAAATACCTTTATAGTCTTGATTTGAAGCTCATTGTATGTAGGTCTTACTCAAAAAAACATGTTATTTTTTTCCTTTTGTTTGTTGCTCTTTGCTTCTTTTGTGGAGCCATTTTTAAGAAAAAAAACAGGATGGACATTTTACAAACGTTTTAATCTGGTTATGATTGTTGCTTATTAAATTCCCTGGGAAAAATCCTACTGTATGTGTCCTGACCTCTTCCTCCTTTTGTGTGTCACCATATTTTTTTATTTTCAAGCTCACCAGTTTTACTTAACACAGTCGTATTTTGTAAATACCCATGTCCAACTTTTCAGTTAAACATTTTGAATATCCAAGACGGTAAAAACTTGCAGCAAACGGATAAAATATGGGCACATCATAGCATAAGATTTGTGCATTTAACAGATGTACCTGCACCTAAATTTTTATAAACTTTGGTATGTTTAGGTTTCTAACTTTGGTATGTGTAGAGGCTTTAGCTCGGTTATAACATCAACAAGGCCAGATAGAAACTCTTGTTGGCTTAAATGCCAACTGCAATGCTCTTAAAGGCCTTTTTGATTTATTTCCAGTGTGTCAATGGACAAATTTAAGCTGTCAAACAGTTCTGGATTCTTTGCTCCGAGCTCTGTTGTCGCCTCAATCCCTACACTGGTCAGGGGGCTTTGAGATGGAGCTGGGTTGGAATTACCTTTTCTGTTCTGTTTTTTACTGCTGAAGTATGAGAAAGTACTTCACTTTGGAATGCATAAATGATATATTACTATACAAGTATGTGTTCAGGTTTTTGTTCATCTTTTACAATTATATATTTTTTGTACTTTTGTCTGTTATTTTGTCGGGTAATGCCTGCTTTAAGCATTGAGTGAGTGGAAAACCTTGCAGGTTGTGTTGATGACAACTTACTTTTTGATGTAGTTTGCCTATTCTCATGATCATATTTAATTTTTTTTCCAGAAAATAAATGCTTTTAGATGTTACCATGCAGTGCATTTGTCTTGATCAGTGTTAATGAAGTGCAGTTTTTAAAAAGAAAAAAACAAGAACTTGATTTTCCACTTTTTTTAATCAAAGAAACATGACACTGTCACAATAAATAACCATGCTTTTTATACTGCTGATGCTTGCTTCCAAGGAAACAAGAGGAAAATAAGTCTCAATCCAGATGGAGAAACTGAGATGCAACAGCCCCTTTTTTTTTATGCTTCATCATCGTGCATTATTGTACATAGTGAGAACACCAGGGAGAAGGGGGCCTCTTTTAATTTTTTTGTCCTTTATTTTTCTTACAAAATATAGATCCAGCCATCAATGGTGCACTCTAGTGATAACGATACAGCTCTTTATCAAGAACCTGACTATTTACAAGTAACGGAGATAATGTGTGCATCCTACCTCTGACTATAAACTTTAACTTTTTATTTTTTGGCTCTGGCTGGAAACTGTTCTGTCAGTGGAGAGGGTGCACGATAACTCCATGTAGTACTGTAATATGCCACTGTGTTGGTAGGAGCTGAGCTGGAGGGCAAGTGAAAGATAGTTTCCAAAAACGCGCGCACACACAAAAAAAAAGGCCATGTGTGAGGATTCATTGACGGCCCACTTCTCTATATGCTAAGCATTTGTTCACAGTCCATGTACCTCAAACCAAAAAAAACACTGTGCGGGCCAGCTATCTGCTTCAAGGGACAACAGAGGAGATCCAGCCTCTTTTACTACTCATAAGACATCATTCAAAGACTACCTCGATAAGCATTTTATTTGGCTGCGTCGTAAAGCATGTTTGGGGAATATAGGATGTCGCCTACATACCTCTTAATATATGGCCAAAGTTTTGATTGAGTACTGCAGGATTTGATTAGTGATAAAGCTCTCCCTCTTAATGATTGACATCAAGACTGAGAGGGTGAGCGGATCATTAATCCATGGCTGAGAATAGAACGCGTATTGGTCGAAAAACAAAAAACCACAGCATTGCAAACTCAAATTGTTAATGACGTTCAGAACCACGCGTTTCTTCTCGAGGTGTGCTCTCCTGTTGGTGCCAGACGCATCTTTTCAGAGCAGAGGAGAACATTTTCCAGCAACAGAAAAAGGCTTTGGTTCCCTACGGATATCACGCCAAACTGGGTGCGCTGTAAGTTGTTTTGCTGAGCAGAAGTTCTTGCGTCTTTTTCCAAAGATTTGCAAGAGCCTTTGCGAGTTCCACAAGTCTGATGGGATGTTAAAAATCGACACCCCATCACCACATCATTTGGCCAAATAAGATAAAGGCAGCATAGAACATGCAAGGACAATAAAAGACACAAGGTTGGATTGTGGTGTAGCAGAAAAGGTAGCATGTAATGAACTTCATGGGCCTGAGCTGGCTGTCACCTCCTATGCCATTAGGGCCAGGATTTTGGCTTTGCCACCCCTAAAAATACCCCAAAAACTCAAAAACAAAAAAGGACACCAGCATATTCATAGGGATTTCTCATGGATCACAAAAGCATAAAAAGATATCCTCTTCATGTAAGTGTAAACTAGGCATAGTTTATATTTAAAATAATTTGTTTTACAATGCCTTGTAAGAAAAAAAAAAAGTATATCCCAATTGTATTTTCAAATTTACACACATCTATTTACAGATAACTGTTTTTCCTTCTGTGTGCAGATGTTTGAGGATGTCTGTGTGATCTTTTCTAATGTAACAGACATAAAACAAAAACATGTACATTCAAACCTCTGCAGATGATTGAAGCATCTATGATAAACTGTTCAAGAAAAATCCATTACACTGCTCCTGCAGAACACTATCCGGTCAAGTTACTAAAGTCCAGCTTGACCTTTACAGCATTAAATGTCCACATAAGAGAAAATAATCTGACATAAGGTCCAACTGGTTGCTCAAAGGGGTAAAATGGTGATGTACTGTGAGAGCAGTATGCAGGATTCCCTTTACATTTTACCCTGGAAAATCCACTAGGCAATGGCAGTTATTCAATTCTTTGCAATATTAAAGAGCAAAAATTAGTGAAAAAAATAAGTTTCAGAGCCCATATGACTAAAAAAGGCATGGAAGACAGGATGTATGAGTTTTTAGTGGCTTATTACAAGGATACACATTTTGTGTTAGTGGCAGAAGACACTCAGCATAATGGACAGATGGGGTCAGACAGGCAACAGGGTGGTGTGCATATTGGCGACTGCGGTGCTACCGGTGTTGAGTTTGTAGCGAACAAACTTGTTACAAAAGAAAGGCTCAGACTGCTGTGGTGAAACGGGCGATGGTAATGGTGGAATGGTGCCGGGGAGGAGCTGATGCTATGATGAAGGGAGTTCGGGATCCTCACACCTGGCTGGGTTTCAGTTGCTGAGGAGCAGCTCTGTCGCCGTTTCCACATCCCAAGATTTTGAAGACAAGGCCGCTATTACTGCATTCTGTATGAGAGGGGGAAATGGAAAACTTATTGTAATCTGTTCATCATTAGCGAGTTAATAAAAACTGAAAGATTAGTTTATAAGCTTATTCTTAATTCCGTTTGAATGAATTGTGCCTTGTTAAGAGTAAATCCTTTAACAACTCCTGCTAACACTATTTTCAATATTGATTTATCTACCGCTTATTTTCTGTTTAATCTATGAAATGTCAGAAAACACTAAAAACAATAACAATCATAAATTCCCAAGTTGACATCTTAATTAGTCTAGTTTCATCCAACCAACAGTCCCAAACACAAAAACACTGACCTTATCAAAGCCCATAGCACAGAGTTTGTCTATTTTGCGTGTGTAGTCGGGACTGGAGACAGGAGCGCCTGCATAGACGTGAGACCACAGCCTTGCGGTCTGTTTGAACATTTCTGGGTTCTGCTTATACTGAGGATGAGGGAGAGCCCAGTGAGTATGGTTAAATACAAAAACATTCTACAAAAGGTGAAGGCAGAGAGAGACAGACAGTGTTTAGATGCCTATGATGGTCTTTAGACCAACACTGGCCACATATGACAACAAACAAACATTGTTACCAAAATGCAATTCTCTTCTGTACTCTTCTGTTTACGTATTATCAGGTCAAAGCACACACAAACATCTCTCTAACCTGGTTTGCTACTACTGCATCCTGTGGATCGTCTGGTTCTGCTGCAGCTAGGAGAGCCTGTAGAGACAACAGCACCGTCCGCAGGGTCATAGCAGCGGCCCTGGGTGAGAAAGATTAAAAGTTGGGGCAGATAAGTGGAGGGTGTCTTAACTTGTGTTTGAAACAGTGGAGAGACACACTGGTACATCAAGTACAGTAGGTTCAGATATGTCTCACTCACCACTGGTCTTTTAAAATGTCCAGACATATCGCTCCTGTCACAGAACTGATATTAGGGTGCCAGATCTTAGAGATGAAACGCACCTGAGAAATAGATAGATAGATAGATATACTTTATTGATCCCAAGCTTGGAAATTGCAGTGTAGCAGCAGCATTACACACAGTAACAACACACAGACATATTAAAAAAAGCAAAATAAAATGCAATATAAAAAATGTATAAATAAGCGGCCTAATTGTAGTGCAAAAGAGAAGTGTGAGAGGTCATCTGGATAAATATTGTATGATTATACAGAAAAAGGAGGTAAATGTGGGTTACAATTCACACCGTTTCTGGCGTGGTAGCTGTCGCTTTAACGTCTCTGGGTGTATTAGGACATTGTGGGCAATGTAAGGAGTCAATGAGCAAAACTGCTTTATGGATTTTTGCATCAATGTGCCAAAGCACTTGATTTGTCATCAAGTATTTAATTCACCGGGTAAGCCAATAACAGACATTCCTCTGTGGTTATTTTTATTCCATACACAATTTCACAAACTTTGCAATATCGATATATATATAGTGATATATTAAAGTGAAATTATTAGCAATTGTTTGTCTATTGCCCCTACATTAGAGCTGTAATGTTTATATGAGATACAAAGATTCAGTTCCATGTTGACGAGTCAGTACCAATGTTTCTGTCTGTCCATCTGCGTAAAGGTGTGTCTGTGATTGCTCAACATTTCAGTGCCTCTCTGTTGATTTCAATCAGCATTAGACTCTCCCTTTCATTTTGGCACATAGATTGTCACTGTACATGTATTTACTGACAGACGACTATATAACTGGAGTCCAGGGCACACCTATGCACATGACACAATGTCACATGACAGAAACCTCACTGAGGTGTTTTCAGGCCAAAGTATCCTACTTTATATTAAAGCACTTCCGCTACTATATTCAGGTTCCTCAAAACAGGACTATGAACAATAACCAAAACAGAAACCAGATTATGATGTTTCAAAACTATGACGCTAGCGCTAATTTAAGAGTGAGAAAGAGGTTAAAGGACATACAGCAAGTACAGTACAGAAGTACACTGAAGCACATACCTTTGGTGGGTTAAAAGGATAGGTTTCTGGGATTTTTATTTCAAGCTGATATCTGCCTCCTTGAAAAATAAGGGGAAAAAACAACATGTTTTAGCATGAAAAGTCCTGTAGTCTTGTATCAACAATCTGATTTGGTGATTATAATGCAGGTGAGTGAGAATACCTTCATATGGTGTATCTGGAGGACCTGCTATCTCCCCCCTCAGCTCTGTGAAGTTCTCATCCACCAAATCTACTTTTATCTGGTTTTTACTTGTCTGTGGGTTGAGACAATAAATCAGAGACACAATAAATCAGTTCCCTTGTTGTCCTGACATGTCTCTGTTATATATGAAACCCCACACTTTTACTGACAACGTGAAGCCACGTACAAGGCGGCTGTTAAATCACTAACAAGTCTTATGTTCTATACAAAAAAAATAAAAAAACAAAAAAACAAAGTCGGGTTGTCACAGAGTTTTACAGGAAGTACGTTAGCAACACAGATAGCTTGCTAGTACAGCCAAGCTAACAAAAGTTAACCAGAAACCCACAATAACAAGACTTGACAGGTAGCAGGATGATCAAATACACACGTTTAAACTACCGCAACCCTTCCCTAGAGAAAGCAACAGCTGATTGACGGATTACGGGACGTGTTAACGATGAGTCGGTGAATGCTGTAGCACAACAACACCTGCTAATGCTAATGCTAACTGTGGATGATATGTCAACTAACGCTACCGTCAGCGAGCTACAAAGCCGCTAACCCGGACTGTCACGGACTAATTTGTGTTAGGAAACAGCCACGGCACCTTGTACGAGACGTGTGATATCAACACATACAAGGTGGGTTTATTTTAAGTAAGTAATGACCCAAATGTTTGCGGTATTGTGTGTTAAAAACAGAGGGCCTGTGAGTTGACCGAGCTGAATCCTCGGTGTTTCCTGAACACACCCACCTGACACTGACATGAAGCTAAAAGCTAACTTAAAGTTCTCCTGTTAAGGCCTGACCTGCTGCAACACAGGACCCCCCCTCCTCCTCCTCCTCCTCCTCCTCTCTCTCTTCTGTCACAACATACACTTTTACATTTTAACCGAGTTGTAAACAACAACCCGAAAAAAAAAAAAGGAAGGAGCTGAATCGAAGTTTTAATAATAACGTTTTAAAAAAGGCAGTAACGTTACCACACCTCCTCGCTTTTGAGAACTTCTTTAAACTCCCGCTTGATCCTTTGGACCGCGATGTTCGCCATGGCTCTGTGTGTGTGTGTGTGTGTGTGTGTGTGTGTGTGTGTGTGTGTGTGTGTGTGTGTGTGTGTGCTGAACTGCTGCTGCCTCTAAGCAAGACCCTGGGCCTCTCTCTTCTCCCTATGTTGTGTGTGTGTCTCTCTCTCTCTCTCTCTCTCTCTGTGTGTCTGCTCGGTGGATTTTCACACAGTTATGATGACCTCCTTTCACTTTCACCGTCTACCGTCTTCTTTTCACTCCAGAGGAAGCTCACCGATACCGTCGACAGCCAGCTCACACAGCGTCAGTCCGTCCAGAACATACACACACACACACACACACACACACACACACACACACACACACACACACACACACACACACACACACACACACACACACACACTGTGCATTTACATGGAGTAGAAACTGGAACTTTCATTAATGTCCTCTGGGTTTATGTTCTTTACAAACAAGCTTTCAGGACATTTCTGAGCATGTGCTGGACACATCTAAATTCTGGCACCTTCATTCACCTACATTTAATTGTGATGTGCTATTAGATTTAATTGTTTTGTTTTTATTTATTTTTTTAAGAGGGGAAAATATAAAAAAGCTGGTCAGGTTCAGCTATTTTTTTTTTTTTTGTTTACTCTTTATTTGACAGTGTCAGCTCAAAGTTAAACCTATTTCTACTGCTGCCATTCCTTACATACCGACTGACTCTTCAACTATTTACAGCACACACACACACACCACACACACACACACTTCACTTATCTCTGGCTCTTCAGCTTAGTCTGAGCATTTCATCGCTTTACATTTTAACTGCTTTCATGGCTCTGACATCAACAGATATTTAAGTTGCTTTCATATCTTAATAAGTGGCTGAGTGACAAGAATTTGTTAATTTTGGATTAATTAGACTTTTCAATGTATAAGAAAAAATATATAAACCATCTAAAATTACAGCACATTGTACTTTTTACTGACTGGCTGACTAAAAACACTGTAAAATGGAAGAAATTACAGCCTTCGTGGGCAAAAAAGTGTGGCTACAGTTTAATGAAATAAGGTTTTAGTTAAACAAACAAACTAAATGGCAACAAGTGAAAGTTCTGCATTCAAAAAAATCTTACTAAAGTCAGTCAAAATATTTATTATACAACTCAATGATCACTCTTATTGTTATATATATCATTTAGTATTATTAATGGGTTACTGTAATCAGCATTTATAAGTTGTATCTGGTGCAAGAGAGGCTGCTACTAATTGTGTGTATATATATATATATATATATATATATATATGTATATATATATACATACTGATGGGTAACGGATCATACTTTATAAATTGATGACATGTTTTGTATATAAAATTTAAATCTGCAAAGTAACTACAGTTGCCAAATATTTATAGTGGATTAAACATTTCTCTGCAATGTTTTTGGGGTAAAAGTATAAAGTAGCATAAAATGGAAATACTCAAGTACAATTTTATGGTAATTGTACATTTTTATGCTCAGTATTTGAGTAAATGAATGTAACATTCCTCCACTGTATATTTGGTTACACAACTGTACAGATGTTGGACACCAATGGCTGTGCCTCGGTCCATCTTCCTCTGTATGACTATAGGCAGCTCTGTTTGTTTACTATCCGGCCATTATAATCGTTCCCTACTGTGATTGGCTCACGGGCCCGCCCTTTAAACGTTTAGACCAATAAGAGACGTTTAAAGCGCCCCGTGCGTTCTGATCCCGCCTCCCCCCCTGCAGACATGTCTGTAGACGGCTTCTGTGGAGAACAACAGTGTCGCGGCGGTGCAGCCCAGGCCCTTTAAACACATCTAACGTTTCCTCTTCATCTACAAAGCTCAAGTAAGTCGCGTTTCGATGCCGATCTGTCTCTAATCACACGTTTATTATCAACAGCCGGGGGGAGGGAGGGGGAGACAACGCTGCGAGTTTTCTCTCGGCTCGCTCGCTAGGTTAGCAAGAAGCTAGTCGACCATTAAGCTGGAAAAATTAGTTCGAGAGCAATATTATGTGAATGCACTGAAAACTCAGCGGCTGGTTCATTAGATCATAGCTTCCGTTTTTTAAAATTGGCTTTCGGCGGGGTCGAGATCAAGTGGTCACTTCGATTGTTAGTCACTCCAGAAATATGCAGCCACCCACCCATGGAAAATATAACGTGTGCATGTTTTCATATAACTATTTCAACTCGGCTACAAGTGAGTTTGCAGCTGAGTCTGAGTCTGAGTCTGAGTAGTGTGTGTGTGTGTGTGTGTGTGTGTTGAGTTATTGTGCAGTGACAGTCACCCGTTTATCTAAAGTTTATACTTGAGCAGATCCGGTTTTTTGAGCAGAGTGGCCTCATAGGTAGAGTCAAACTTTTTTTATTTTTCATTTTATTGTGGTATAGACTAGAAGTATACTGATAAATGGGCCATGCTGATATGTCGGGCAATATTGGCTTATTGCAAATGTATTGCTTAAGGCTTATATTTATGTTATGTATGTAGTTTGCCAATAAATAACAAGAATTTGCATAACAGACTAACAGGGCTTAAACCCACCTTCATACATTATATGATTTGTAATAGTAAGGTTGTTTTTCAACTTAAAATTGTACTGCTCTGTGCATATCTATATATATATATATATATATATATAAGAAAATCAATGTCAGGGTTTTTGTATGAGAAATGTTTATCTATCAAATATTAACATTGCCTAAATAATCCAATATGTATTATACTAGTATAGACTTGGATAGCTTTGATAACCTGTTGCAGAAATCTGTGCATTTGATTGTATATTTGTTCCACAACTACTGCAAGTATTGTCTGTATGCCAGGCCATTTGATTATAAGTGAATCTTAATTTCTCAGAGTAATCATTTCTTGCTTTCACTCTATCTTGAGCAGGCGTTAGGTTCCCATTATGATCTCCACAAATCAGCTAAACTCGCTTACTTTTATGGACCAATTCATTTGCTGCATTTACTTATGATGGGACTCCTATTTAGTGTTATATTAAACAAAGGTGCACCATAAAGGTAACCCAGTTTAGAGTTTAAATGTTAAAATACATGAACAGTAAAATATTCCATATGTTTTTAATAAATGCGTAAATAGAGTAACAAAGATCTTGATTATTGTCAATACAATAAAGCCACAAAAGTTCTCGGTTAACTTTTATTTACATTATATATTTTGGCATTTCCTGGCCAAATGCAAACACAAATACAGTCAATCAGACAGCCCTCACTCTTAACAAACGTGTAGATTACCTGTAGCCAGGTGATTCAGCTAGAGAGTTTGCTGACTGTCCTTAACGGAGCAGTCTCCTCCCTCTATTCTGTGTGTGTCTGTGAGACAACAATAGAGCGCAGCATTGGGTTTCCCTCACTTGTTCATGTATGTCCTAGTTGCAGTACAGTCCTTTTTTTTGTCTGGTTCCTAGGTGGACACCTAGTGAGAAATGGCAGAGGGAGGCTTTGACCCTTGTGAGTGCATCTGCACCCATGAGTATGCTATGAGACGTCTCATCAACCTGGTAAGTCATGGAACATGGGGGGGGGTTTACCACCACTTGAAATCTTAAGTGGCAGAGTTGCGGTGCAGGGACAGGTCAAAGTATGCCAAGAATGCAGCATAAAGTAAAAATATCTCCTGCTGAAGTTGAGAACGAAGAGCAGAGAGATTAATGTGAGAAACAACTAGCAAGTAAATTAGAGTCTGTAGAGAAGGAAATGAAAAGCAGAGGAGTGTCACTGAGCCAACATATCCTGGTTCCTGTTTAGTGTTTGTCTTGAGAGGATATCAGTCCTGCCACACAAACGTTTCAGTTGCACTGTACTTGGCTCTTCTTAAAGGAAAGGGTGTTGTGAAAGAGGAGGTCAAAATTACTGAGAGAAACTACATTAAAGAGAGAATATAGCTTGTAATTATGATGTTTTCAGGTGAGCTCATTAGCTCTTGTCGTACAGGTGTAACTTGCATGGCGCCCGGCGGTTGGTTCAAAGCTGGAAGCCTCCCTGGGGGTTTTCTGATTTGCTTGCAGTAGGAAAGGGTGTTGTCAAAATAACTAAAGAATTTGCGCAGCATTTGCGAGTGCTGCAGTATATTTTAGGAGGCAGGCAGAGTTCCGGTTGTTGGTTTGTTGGTTTGCTCAATGTAACAAGGAAAGTGAATCAAGAAGTTTTATCAGCAATACCTTTCATAGATCACCTGTATTTTCTTTCTCCCTGTATGAGGGCAGTGGTCACCAGAGTAAATACGTTATCTGTCATAGAGAGGAGGAAGAATGAATTAATGAATATTATTTTTCCTTTTATTACATCTACTTTGTTCGTTCTGTAATTTCTCTTTCAGCTCAGGCAATCTCAGTCCTACTGCACAGACACAGACTGCCCTCAGGAATGTATGTATGACCACATTAGACCTTTTTATGTTGTGTTTTTTTTTTTTTATCATAGTGTCTTATCACGTGGAAGCGTGGCTGCACTCCAAGCATGATCTCAAATCAGGAATGTCGATCATATGTGTGAAGTGCAAATATGTGTTTGTTTTCAGTGCCAGGTCCTAGTGGTCCAGTTGGTGGAGGAGGTGATCTGACGCTCCCCATGGTTGTGATGGGATGGATGGTGCTTGCTCTGCTCCTGTTCCTGTTGCGCCCATCCAGTCTCAGGGGTCCCCGTCCCACAGGCAAACCTCCTGGACCGCACAACGTCAGTATTATTGATCACACTCCCGCCTACGCAACACTAACGTTTTAAATATTGGTACAGTTCTGCCTTCATTCACATTGACATTTTACAACAAAATAGAAGTAAATTATACAGTGAAGATAGAATTTCACGTTTTGATCATTTAGTCAGATTAAATTTGAAAAATGTCACCATTTGATAAAGCTTTAGTTGTGGATTTAGAAAAAAAGAGGAAACAAAAGAGAGAATCAATGTGGTTAGCTAAGATGGTAACTAATTTGCTGCATGCTATGTATTTGGCCTATGTCTTGTAAATTGGAACAGTTTACTGCCTTGTTTTTAAAGATGAAATATTGAGAAATATTGCAGAAAAATTTATTCACATGCCTGAATTAGTAAAAAAAGTAAAAACACAGCTTGTACTTGACTTTGTGGTCACGTTGTGGTAGTGACACACTCAGCCTACAAAAATAGATGACTGACATTGCTCTTATAGTTGATCATATATTGCCATGTAGTTTATGGGCTCAGTCGTGCGGTTAGGTACCACAAAAGCCTGTGGATTATTTGTTCTTTTTTTAAGTCAATGTTATTGCTGTTGTGCGTCACATTTTATTCTTTTATTGGCCCTTTTTCACAGCAGACATTTTGACCTGCCACAGTAGGAAAAGCACAGGTGTTACTTGTAACATTAACAATGGCTCTGTTCTGTCCAAGTGTCCCAGTGAGTCATGACAGTGAGCCAGTATGCACAGTACCAGGACCTTGAAACTGAAACCTTAAAATGGAATTCAGCCAACATCAATTTTATTATTTGCACATTGGCTTTTACTTTCACATGTCAAAATGTCCTTTTAAAACATGCCTAAAGTTCCCATTGCTGTCATGGCCAGAGATAGGCTTAGGTTATATTGCAATATTGTATCAACATTTTTCTTTTTTTTGTTTGATTTTGTAATCACTGTGTATTTTTTTTTATTTGTTTTAGACCAGTCTAATTCAATAATGGTCAAATCAGGTTACAGCAAGCAGCAGCCAAATGCAGAAATCATTTACGCAGTTGCTATGTTTGAAGGTTGCTAAGTCAACATTTGTGAAAGATGAGCTGTCCTCTCCCAAAATTAGGAACCAGAAACTAAACGTTTACTCTGTTGTGTATTGGAGCTGTACTTTACAGTTTTTTTTTTTTTTTTTTTACAGTTGCTAGAAAGTGTACCAATACCAAAAATATTTTGGTAATATTAAGGTCCAGTGTGTAACATTTAGGATAATCCACTGTCAGAAATTAATATATTAATATTCATAGGTAGGTTTTCATTAGTGTATAATCACCTGAATATAGGAATTGTTGTGTTTTCATTTTCATTCCCTTTTTGTCAAATACAGACTCAAGCAGTGCTCACTTAGTTACAATCTGCAACTCCACCACTAGATGCCACTAAATCCTACACACTGGACCTTTTTAACCCAGCATCAAATCTACATTTTAAAATGCATTACATGTCATAACTCTGTCAAAACCTGACAAACACAACTTGGTACCAAATCATTCTTTCAAAAGACCCATGTTTTCTGTCCAAGTGGAACATGGATTCAATCATAGCACAGCTACTTTCAAAATACACAGTTGATGGCAGTTCTTTGACTGTAAACAACATTTTTAGTTGAGTGTCAAATGTTTGCATTTATAACAACATACTGTCTAAAAGTGAATAAGTCATCTACATATTTTAGAATGCAGAGTAAAAAAAAAAGGCGACATAATTTCTGCAGTAAAAGCTTGAATAGCAACATGAAATTACTGCCAACATACATGGTCTTTGGTTCCAAATGTGTAAAAATAAATACACATGTATACGATCAGTGACAACGGCTCTTACAGTCCTTTGAACACCAGCATGCATTCTTACTCCTCTCCGTCTATCTCTCCTTGTCCTGGTCCATCCACTCCTCCTTTTAAATTATTTTTTTTTCTCTCTCTGCTCCTCTGTGTTGTTCTGTACCCACACTGATGAAAAACAAATCCAAAATGTCCCCTCTTAACGGTATATGTCCATGTAACAGAAATAACTTCATCCCCTGACTGTGTCTCCTGTTGAGATTAGAATTGGCTATGGTTGAGCTATTTTACACAACTTACTGTAAATCAACTATTTCTCAATTCAGTGTCAAACATTTGTGTGTATGTGGATACAACCAAATGTCTTGTATGTCGAAATCTCACCGCATTAGTTTCAGGATGTGCTCCCCAATTATGTCCCTTTTTTTTCTTCTACTGTAAAAATTTAATATCATCTTGTCTTGGTTTACAGAGAGGGGGAAGAGAGCCTCCAGCACCACCTGTTGACTAGCAACGGAGCCAGAGAGCCAGCATTCACACACCTGCTCTGACTGGAGCTGCACAGTTAGCTCTTTACTGTGACCAGGACGGTGCCATCTCCCTGTCAAACTCCATTCAAATTTCTTTTGCTTTTTTTCCCTTTTCTAATGCCATTATGTTTTTGGGTGGACCTATCTATGATTTCTGTTACTAGAGCCCAACTGATGCTGGATCAGTGAGCCCAATACAGATATAATTAACAGTTATAAAAAAAAGTTCAATTTCTTTCTTTTGTTGCATAAACATACAACATAAACAAAACCTTTTGATTAGGAAATGCAATGGGGAGGGGGTAGCGGAGAGTTTAAATGTCCTGTTGCGGTGGTTGCTGAGTGACGAGGCGGGGTGGGTTCATCAGACTCTGAAACATTCCACTCTTTCCACTTTTACAACAGTGCCAGTAATGATGTCATATCACATAATGTCACATATTTAAAACCAGCTGAGCAATTACATGTAACGAATTTATATGGTTAAATTCAATTCTGAATTAGGATTTGGTGTACAGTAACACGGCATAGGGGGTTTTAATGCAGTGAATTTATCTTCTGTGTTTACATCCAGGCCTCAGTTAGATTACATACTCGCCCCCTGCCAGCAAATAGTCCGGTCCTCTTATATTAACTCTGCGTCTCTCCCTTTATGTAACAGTGGGTTTGGTTACTGTAGTAACAGATCTGACAGATCTTTTAAGAGTCTGTTTAGAGGTTTTAGACAATTTGACAGTTGAATGCTCACATTTCGACTGTGCGTCGTCATTGTAAAACAATATATTCCGTATAAGCAAAATAAGTTTTAATCATGTTGAGATGATTCCGTGTACTGTAATTGTTTTGTAGTTAAAAGACGAAAATGTATACTGACGTATTCGTAGCCGAGAATCATATTTTATTAGCACTTTTATTGTGGTATGTTGGCTCCTTTTTTTTTTTTTTTTTTTTTTGAGGGTGTATTGTATTGATTCAGCTGTCTAAATGATGGCCTGGTGGAGATGAGGGCATGTTCTTACTACTTATTGAGAATCATAGCAGTCTGATATTAATGGCAGCAATCAAAGTTTCTTCGTCACAACTTCTGTGTGATGCTGTTCCAAACCAATGAAAAGGAACGGTGCAGACGAAACATGTACAACCAAACAGGTACATTTTCAAAACAGTGCCAATGTGAATTTATAGTTCTGATCTCGATGATCATTTGTAGAACAACCTCTTGTGAAAGAACAGCAATATTTATCGTCATTTTTATTTTAAATTTGTAATGTGAAGAAGACGAGGGAATGATCTCCTTGTTTTCTTATTACTGTGGTTTATAATAGAGGGTTCTTTTCTTTATATCTAAATCATTTTACAAGAGGTTTATCAGCTAGATTAAAGGTTTAAATGCAACTGATGAACAGAAACAATAGAAACCAACCCCTAATGCTGACAAGGTTTTATTCCTTAACCGTGTATGTAAATGTGGGTAGGTGTGTATAACACAGCACAACAGCAACACAAACTCCAGCCTCAAAGTGACTGAGAAAAAATCAACCCAGCTTTGATCAAATCTCAAGAAAATAGGAACATTATAATAAATGGTATGTCTATTGATGGTTACTGGATTGCAGTACATGGTAGTGGGTTTCCTGAGTTGCTAGTACTGACTGTATCTTTGTCATGCCCCTATCATGGAAACATGGCTTTTAAAGTGTATCTGGGCCTTGTTTATATTCCAGGGTACCTGTAATATCAGAAATTACATGGATTAGTCTTAAAATTGAAGGGTCTTTTTTTTGAATACTTTGTGTAAGAACATGGAGATGATCTGTAACAACTGTGGGTGTGAGTTCATCCCAACAGTCTTCAGTAGCTGGCTCGTTTCCATATCAACGAATGTTCTGAGATTTTTGTTTACTATATCGTTGTAGACTTGCTCGGGAGATGGCAGGGAAGAGTTATAAAGGAGAAAGTTAAGCAAACCATATGTAGTTGCGTATAATTAACTGGGATGCCGTACTAGATTGTTGAGATGAACTAGTGGACTATCTGGCACCACAGGAGACCTTGATTTACACTGTTTCTGTCTCAGAGAAAAAGGGCTTCAACTATGCACTTTTCCTATAACAAAACAAAAAATAAAAATAATTCAGTCTTACTGCCTGGCTGTGTTTTGTTGTTATTAACTGGAACACCTGCAGTACTGCATATACTGAGTGTTTTATTAATTGTTATTAACATTTCACCACATGAATGCAACAAAACAATATAAGTAAGTAACATTTTTCTGCTGCTGCTCATATTGTGATTTAAAGACATAGCTCTTGATTACATGACTCGATTAATTTAAAATAGACAACTCAGAAATACTAATGCTGTAATTATAAGGTTGAATTTATCTTGTTACTTAATTAAAACTTGCACATACAATACTCAGCTCTTCATTATAATTGAACAATAAAAGAAGTTCTACAGTTTAACAACACATGCTGTAAACATACAAGGCAGCACAAGTTAGTACAGCAGTAGTCAGACACATAGCAAGAAAATGTATGTTTAAAATGCAGATTAGAGAACGCTATGTACACCATATTTTGTATATATTTGTGCTTTCTCTTATTTTGAGCTTTCTCAGTGTAGTAAAACAAAATAAACACCCGGTCCGACGGTGTTTGCTTGTTTCAGTCTCCTTAAATCTTTTTGGTTAATCCTCTGAGCATGCGCAGTGTTGAAACGGAACCGTCCTCCACGTTTCCAAGGGTTACCATCAACAAGTCAGTTAGCCCCACTGAAGCTAATACCAGCGTGCATTAAGGTTGTACCATTTACGAACAGCTGTATGGTGTGCATTGAACCAGAAAACAATCATGTTGCTATCTGACTTTACATAATGGTACTGCAGTTATATTGGCAGCACAGGAAGTCTAGTAGCTACGATAAGCTACAGTGAACTTAGCGAACAGCTAGCTGGCATGCTAATGCCAATGAACGCAATCAGAAGAAACTGCTATTAGTTTTTACAATGACAAATCAGGACTTCGGGACGCTGGCTTACAAGAAAAGCCCGAAAACATCGAAAAGGACAACTTTTCAGGTAAAAGCTTTTAAGTATATGTTACCAAATGAGAAGTGTTTAACCCACAGCACTCTGGAGACAGTCCTCGGGTGTCTGATCAACCTCAAATTGTGTCCTTATAGGATGAACTTCAGGCTGCTGTCTCTGCCAGGGCAAGCAAAACAAAAAAAGACAAATTCTCTTACTCTGATGACTTCCATGAAGACGAAGATGGTAAGATGGCAGCAGAGCATGAACATGTCTAACTTATAAAACTGGCTTTTACATGAGAGTTGTTGATCTCTTTAGTGCCTTTGTTTATGTTGTAACAGTGGTCTGTATCACCACTATCTGTGTCTAATGATAGTTGAAGATGAAGGTTTTTTATTGTCTTCTCCTAAGCAGTTATGTATCCATCCTTTCACATCATTTTGTGCAAGTTACTTTGTACTTTAATGCATATATCTGTGATTCACAGTGAAAATGCATCACACACATTACAGTGATTCCTAACCAGGGGTACTTGTATGCAGTTGCCAGGGGGGATTGTGAAGTAGCTCACCTTATTTGTAAAAAAAAAAATTATGATTTGGTAAAAAAAAAAAACAGTCACAATCTAGAACTATATATAGCTAAAAGTAATGGATAAATGGTTAAAAATGTCTAACTTCTGCACCTTCAAATGATTGTAGTACAAATGTAACTTGTAACTGTAAATGTTATTAGTAAATGTAACAGAACTTACTGAAACTAAAGAAAGGTACCGACCATAAATACTGCAGATTCCAGGCCCACAATGTTAATATGGTGAAGGCTTTATATAACTGCTTTGCAGAAGAAAATGACAGATGGCAACAACAATAACAGCAGTGCATCAATAGAACAGACCATATGGCTGAAACAGGCACACAGTACTCTCTCTAGCGGATGTCAGTGTTTGGATAACCTTGAGTTTAGATTGTTTTGTTGAATAGATACCGTTTAATGGTTGGTCCTGTCTTGTCATTTTACAGATTTTTTGAATGAGCTCCTCAAATCAAGAAGAAAGAAGGCTGGCACATTAAAGGCAGGGAAGAGTAAAGCCAAAATCAACGACTTTGAGATTTCAGATGACGAAGGCAAACATGGCAGGACGAAGAGAGTTTCATTTCTGAAAACCCAGAGGATCAGCTCTCCCTCAGGAGACGTCGCGGTATCAGAGTCACGTGAAAACGAGCCGCCTGACTCTTCCATCGGTCAGCACAACGATTATAATACCTCATTTTCCTCACAACATTCCACAAATGTCAGTGAAGATAACATCCGATTTAAAAACAGTGATGGGGAGACTACCGATCCTCAAATCACGAGAGAGAGCTCAGATAAGTCTCTGTCATACCAAACATCAGATGATACTCTCCTGGACATGCCTCTACCTTTACCATCTGATAGCAGCGTGATAGAAACTCCAGGTCCTGAGGAGAAGAGCAACTCTGTCCTGGAAGAAAGCTCAGAGACTCCACAGTTATCAGAAACTTACATCAACCACGTGTCCTCAGCAGGTCTGTTTACACTGTTTCATGTACAAGTCACAAAGGGCACATATCATGTTACTTACTAACTCTTGTTATCCAGATAGCGCTACAGAAAGGGAGCCACCCAGGCCTAAACCGAGGCAAAGGACTCTTGGATTAAACCTTCACGCCACAGAGAAGATAGCTGAAGATGCTGAAGATGCTGAAGAATCTCAGGATCTCAGCAGGCCCCCGACCTCCTCTGCCTCCATTCCCCTCTCCACTGGCACATCCAGCAACATCACTGTAAGGAGCTGCAGTCCACACGTGTCTCGTTACTAACATTTTCTATTGCAGTTGGTAAAAAGACACATTCTCTAAATGGAGCACATGCTTGTTCTGTTGTTTCATCACGTAGTGGACAGATGGAGATCATGCAGGTTCGTGTAGCCTCAGCAAAACCTCTTCAAGCAAGAGTGAACAGTCGCAGCTCTTCACTAAGTCCATGGTTGATACTGAATCCAGAGGTAACAACTGGCATGTTCAGCACATACATGTATTTTATTGTATTTTTAACTCATTAATCCTCCTTTTATTTAATTGTATTGTTTTAGATGGCTTTATATCAGATGAAAGCAAAAAGCAGGGGAGACAGTACTCCACGTCATTTGAAGAGTTTAATGTAAGTCATTTATTCAGGTGTGGCTGTGATAGTCTTATGTTAGAAGCATGCTCTGCCTCTTATTTCGATTATTTTTAATCTCATTGTGTAATATTTTCTTTCAGCAAGACTCATCTCAACAAGATCACTCAGATCAACTCTCTAATGAAAAATCATTTGATACCAGGTAGGTAAACAAGCTGCAACAATAGATATGTAAGGCTTTGTGGATATAACCGGATAGTAACTTAACGGACCATCCTTTAATTTAAATTAGGACATCAAGTTCTCACTCTAAGACCACTCAGAGATCGCACAGTGCGTGTTCCAGGAAAGTGGAATCAAGGTATTTGGGATCTCTCAAAGTTCTGGATCGTAAAGTCTCACTACAAGAGTCTCAGCCGCAAGCAGCAGATGCACTCAGAGCTGCCATTTACCAGGTCAGTGTCATAATGAGCCTATGTTGTCCTTGGACTTCAAAGGTGGGGTAAGCTATTCTGGAGAGATCCAATAGCATGACAAATACCATGATTTAGTGTGAATGACGCACCAAATAATGTACCTAACGTTAGCTGTGTTGTTAGTTTGCAAACATTTGCTAAAGTTGCTGCTGCAAAGCTAAGATGCAGAGAGGATTAGACAGTTTTACAGAGCCAGCACACCACTAACATGTACTCCTAACAGGAATGGCTTCAAAAGAAAAAGGAAAAGTCAAGAGAGAACATGCAACAGAAGAAGAAAGAAGAAACCTTGAAAGAAAAAAAGAAAAGGGTGAATAATCTGTTTTGAAATTGGAAATACAGTACAACAGTAATACAATACTTATATACGGCTGTTGCCTGTGGTCTTTCAAAAACCAGGAACAAGAAGCTAAAAAGGAAGATGCTGTTGCATCATATGAGGCTTGGAAAGAAAAGAAAGCGGAGAGTCTCAAAGCAAAAGCCAAAGAAAAGCAAGAAATTATCCAAAAAGAGAAAAGAGCGATTGAAGAGAAAGAGGAAAAAAAGCAATCTGCTAAACAGGTATATTGATGATTTATGGTGCATTATTCTGAAAGATATGATAAGCACTTCTGTTTGAAGATGTAATGTTAATCAGTAATGTTATAAACCTTACAGGTGTTTGAACAGTGGAAACGTGAGCATGATCATCTACTCAAAGAAAAGTACAGAAAAGAAAGAGAAGCTCAAAGTAAAATTGAGTTAGAAAAACAAGAAAAGGAGGAAGAAAGAAAAAGAGACAGCAAATCGGCTTTTTCTAACTGGTGGGTGTAAATCATTGACATTTTGATGTATTGTTTGTTTATTTAAATGGTTATGAAACATGACCTCTCTCTGAGCACTGACCTCTTGTGATACTAGTGTCTCTTGCATTTGTAGAAGAGGTGCATACATTTCTTCATAAAATTGTCCTACTTAGTAATGAGTAATGAAAGTAAAGTGTTCACACCTTCACAAAATAGAGGTAGTGCATTTCAAATGAACAGTTGAACACCAAACAGTGCTGTTGAAATGATCAACCACTAGATGGCGCCCAAAACTGGATGTTTAGTCATGTTTCATCCCCTGTATCTCTATCACAGAAACATCAACAGTTAACTCTCTTCTAAAACGTTTTTTTTTTCTTCTTGAACTGTGAAGGCATGAAAAGAAGAAAGATGTTATCCAAGAAAAAGTCACAATAGAGCGTAAAGAATTCCAAAATAAAGCAGAGGAGGAACGATACATGAAAGAAGAGAAAGATAAAATAGCTTTAGAGATGTATGAGAACTGGCTGGTAAGTAGAATAACTTAAAGCTTGTATTTATTTCTTTGTTGTTTCTTTATCATCCTATTGTGTGAACTCTTGGTGGTGATTTCTTCCACAATGCTGACGGTTAATATCTCTTATTATTGATTCCAACAGGCACGGAAAGAGCTGGAGCAGAAGAGACAAAGAGAAGAAAGACG